AGTGGCTCTGGTTTCTACTTCCAGAGTCCTTGAGATAAGAGAATTTTGGAAGAAGGCAGACTTGGAGCTCTGATGAGAAACTGGCAATCAGACACTTGGGTACCAGCCTCTGCCCAAATCCCCTTACCCACAGGCCTGTGCTGCCGGTCACAGCCAACCTGAAGAAGCCCAGAGGGCACCGAACGATCCTGGGATCCTTGGGCCGGTCGCGTCTGACTGCAGATCCAGGTCAGGGGGAGGAAAGCTCCACAAGGAAGCGTCATGGCTGTGTCCTCATGGTAGGACCAGGGCAAGTCGCCCGGTCTTTCTGGCCAGCTTCTGTCCTCCCAAGCCGAACAAGCCGTGCCCGTCAGCTCCGGCTGTCACCAGAGGAGGGCTGTCATTAAGCGTCCACGTGTGAACGTGGGGCTGGAGCGCAACGGCTGACAGGGGCCATCCCAGAGGCCGGTCCCGGTGGTCGCCAGAATACAGCCACCTGCAAGCTGGAACTTCCGGACCACAGCCTGTCACCTCCACCGAGACCCACCAGCTTCAGGGCCGCCTTCAGACGTCGCGCTCCCCTGCCTCACTGGGCTGAGGCAGGGCCCTTCTTCTTCCCTTGTCTGTCTCGTGTGTGCTGCAGAAACACGCAGCGATGAGGCCGCTGCGTGATCCATGCTCTCCACCTTGGGAATAAGCCACTCGGGAGTGGCCTGAGGCACCATACGTCCCTTGTTTGGGATTCTGACCTTGATGCCATTCCTGCCTTTGGTGAGCTCACCACACAGCCCGATCAGCAAAGGGTCCGGGCACACCCCGACCCCCACCTCCCGCCGCAAGGTCAGCTACCCAGTGCGTGGCTGGGCCCGAGCTGAAAGGGGCCATAAAGGGAACAGGGAGTGGCTAATGCTTTGTCCAGACCACTCTCCTAAAAGATGAATCGTCCTTCTACTTGGAGCTGGAATTCTCTGCCTTGATTTTTCCCCAGCTGCTGGGCCTCTGCAGGCTGCCCCCCAGCCCTCCCCTCCCAAAGAGGAACAGCCTTCTGGGGTGGGGGTTTGGCTGTCAGAGCTGAGAGAGGTTGGGAGCTGCTCCTCCTCCCAATTCTTCTTCCTTTGGGAACTCTCAGTGCTAAAAACAAGCTTTCTGAGAACCATATTTTTCTGGGTTAAAGGTGAAAAATGCAGCATTTCCTCCAAGTGGAAAGCACTGGGCCGGCCAGCTCCGGGCACATTTCCGAGATCCTTCCTCCCACTCAGGGAGGAGGCAGCTCGCTTGCAAGGGGGAGAAGTGATGAGGGGGGCGGTGAAGGGAAGGCGAGGCGGGAAGTTGGAAGGAAAGCGCCCGTTCCTCTGACTCTGAAGCCCGGGCGGTTCGCGTCCGGCAACCTGAGGCCTGTTTGTGTTGGCGCAGGCCTGGAGGCTGGAACAGGACCGGGTCCGGAAAAGAAAAGCAAAGAAGAGGGTGGGAGAGCAGGGCAACCATTCAGAGCGGTGCCTGACGGCCGGGGTCATCAAGCTGCCACTCACGGGCTTCTGGGACAGTGTGGGGACAAAGAAGACCCCACAGACCTTCCTGAGAGAAATCCCGCAACCGGGCTTAGAGGAAAGTTGTGGCTGTGAAGTCAGTTTTAATAGGAACAGCAAGAACACCCCGGTCCTCACCCCCCCGCACCAACCAGCCATCCTTGCTTAGGGCACACGGAAGTCTGAGGGATTTTCTCAGATCCTGCCCGTGGACAAAAGGTGGTTTTTAGGAACCTGGGCCTCCTGATAGCCCTCCCGGGCAGGACAGGGATGGCATTAATCTCCGAGCTCCCTGGCTTGCAAACCTCTCTAGGGAGCCCAGGGCCCAGGCAGGTTCTTCAATATTCTCTCAACAGAGCCACTTCCCAAAAGCTAGGGCACAAATCCTATCACCCTGCTAGGCCCCCCTCCTCAGAATGATAGCATGGCCGCCAAGGATTGGGCAACAGGTAGAAGCAGAAGGCACAGGGCACAACAGGAGCAGCCGGAGGAGGGACAGATGCTGCCCCCTGGGCCCCGCCTGGCCGGGAGGCCGCTGACTACTTCACAGACCCCCCCCTCCCACCCCTCCGGAAGACTGTGGCCTGCGGGGCCACCTCCCCCTGATCACAGCATCTCTCTCAACAGCCTATGGCTGCTCTGCAGGAGGACGGCCTTAATGGCCTGGATCTTGCACCCTGGCTATGCCCGGCCCTTTGCTGGGTGACCTCTTCTCCCCTGCAGAGACCCAGTCTGTTTCTTCCTCTCTTCAGTCCATGGACTTCGACTGACAGGATGTGGCAGAAGGGACATGTGCAGTCCCAAAAGTAGGCTGTCAAAGGCCTTACACCTTGACTTGAATTTCTTTGCCCTCCTCTCTAGTGACAAGGGCATGTCAGCCTATCCCTTGGGCCCGCGACAAGGATAAGAGCCACAGGGAGTACACTCAAGTCAGCTCACCATCCCAGCCAAGGCCATCCTAAATGAGCCAATTGCCGCACACGTGAACAGGTCCATCGGAGACCCGAAGAACCACCTGGTCAAGCCCCACAGAGATCAGCCGAGCCGCCACACTGACCACTGGGGGCCTGTGAGCAATACACCCTTCGTGCCGTTCTGTGATGTGTAGCGTGCAGGCTTCTGTGGCGGTAGATAACGGACTTAGACAGGACCCAAAGCACCCACAGAGCCAGCCCGAGCTTGCCTCAGCTCTATCTCCTACCCCTGAATCCCAGCCCAAGTCCTCCACTTCAGAATGCCATTTGTACCCCCACAACCACCTCCCCTATAAATCCATCCCGGATCTCCCAGATCTTGTCCACCACGAGGGGGAGAGCCCTGCTTTTGGCTGGGATGTACTTTCCATGTGCTCTGACTCTGAGCCCCCAGTGACCGCTCCTCTGGGGTCACTGTACTCTGTTGTCCTCTCGTCAGCAGGATCTCCCTGGCCCCCAGCCCACCATGGGGTCATCCCTCCTCACCCCTCTGCATCCCACCCAGCAGGGGAAGGTGGCCCACAATTCTCATCAGCTTCAACACACCCCTCCCAGGTCCCGGTTCCTGAGTCATCGCATTTTTGTCCAGAAAACACCTGCAGGGAGCAGCAGCTCTTCTACAGCACAACTCTCCTGGCTTGGGCTCAGCTGCATATTTGGCTAAAATCGCAACATTTTGTTTGTTTGGGGCTTGGAGGGGGTTGTTTTTTTTTGTGTGTGTGTGTGGCTGGAGGCAATGGATTCAGACTGAGTTACGAAAGCAGCCCCGCTCTATCTTGGGAAGCACGGATCCTGGCAGCCTCCAAGGAAGGGGTGTGGAGGTGAGGGTGTTTGGGAGGTGGCAAAACCCGCTTTCTAAGACATCCTGACACAGAACCTTCTGCTTGATGCCCTGAGGGGACAGAGAATGCAGACATGTTGGATTAAGGAATGTGATATGCAGGGCTGAGGAAACAGCACAAAAGAATTGTGCAAAGACATCGAAGTCCATGAAGAGTTCAGGACACCATGTAGGCTAGAGATTGAAGGTTACAGGAATACATATAACAGTATGATAATTCTGTATTTTCTAAGCTGAATGCTAGTGGGAAGACTTTGCGATTAACTGAACTAGATAACAAAACAAACAAAAAAGACAACAAACACCCCACTTTCTACCACGAGGCTTTCCTGCACACCGCACTCCCCAGCGGACACCGGGCAGAGCAAAGGAATTACCAGGACTGCCACTGTTACGATCGCCGTCCTTATGACCATCGTTGCTGTGGTTCCTCCTCCAGGAGGGAGGATCCTGGTCATCGGAGGTCCCAGAGGCAAGAGGTAGAAGGCTGAAGCGCGAGTTTCAGCCCGTCTCTAGTTTACTTGTTCATTTTTCAGAATTCTCAAAGTGCTTAGCATGGTGCTTCGCCCAAAGCTCAAAGTCTTCACTAAACGCAGGCTGCACACACCAGACTTGAGTCATGACGGACTAATTATAGGCTCTTCCGTGATTGGGACCCGATTTCCCTCCTCTTCGGGGACAGTGTTCAGCTCACCTTTCCCTTAGTAAGTCCCGTCCTGGGGACCTGCCAGTGAGCCAGCTGTCTGCAGGGTCACCGCCGAGGGCTCGGAGCCAGCAGCCCGCTTCCTGGGTACTTGCCCAGACGCTCATACCATGCTGAGGACACCCCTGCCCCAGAATGGCCTCAGAACCACCAACTGTGAGACTCTACTCGCAGGGATCATGTCTACAGCTTCTAATTGTATCGGTGTCCACCTGTGGACACGGCTTCTGCAAGCATCAGTAACATCTCCCCCAAATGAATAAAAGACTGAACGCATGAGTTCTAGCCTTCTTCATCTCCTTTATTTAGGTTCACTATAGTCGTTCCCCCTCTCTTAAAGCAAAAAAGACAGTGGCCCCCAACTCTGTAACCCATGTGCCTGCTGATCTGCTTTTTTTGGAAGCTTCATGTTCATCTCCTTGAGCCGTCCGCATTAACCGCAAGAGAAGAGTCAGCTTCCCCAAGCTGCCCCAGCAAGTGTACTATCCCACTCTGACTGATGCCACGAGGGGCCCAAATAAGTCTCTCCGGGGGGGATATCTTTAGGAAGTGTGCAAAGAATTCAGTGTTGTCCGCACAAACTTGGAAAGTGTACTGTGTGGATAATCTGCAGCTATAAAAATATACACATACAAAAAGACAGCTACAAAATCATGGTGCCCCATTGTCTTCGACTTGCATTATAAAAAGTAGGGAGTTTCCCACTACAGTAAACGTCGGTGGAGGGCAGCATTATGACTGGAACTCCGTGCCTAGGCTCCCCTCCTCCTGATTCTCATGGAATAGTCAGAGCACACTGACCCCAGCCACTGAGGACTGGAAGGGATTACTCCTACTCATTCCAGGGCCAAGGTGAGCAATTCAAAGTTCAAGGTCAAATAGTCATTTTGCTGTCAGTAAGAGTGTCATGAATCAGGAAAGGAGGGAAGTATTTTAATACTGCCCTGTGGGTCTCTATTTTTTTTTCTTTCTTTTTATATGCACCATGAATCACAACACAGTCATTGAGCTACAGCAGAAGGCTCTGGAATTCGCATTGATGTGTGATCTCTGGCAGCTGCTACACATTCAATGGACAAAATTCGACGCTTCCTACACAGAGGATTCTGTTGGGTTTGGCCCACAGAGTGTCCGCAGGAAAGGCCACACAGGGACTTCTGTCTCGGATCTAGTCTCTCATCAGGGGGTACGTTCTCCTTGATGAGAAGACACACAACTGGTCCCCGTGCCACTGTGGCTGGCATCAGGCAGGGTCTCAGGGCCCCGGGGATTCTCAGCACAGAAGGCTGTGTCCCTCGGGCAAGGCCAGCCGGTGTTACTTGGCTCCACAAGTGTTGATGTTTTTTCCATCCACGGCGTCTTCCACGAGGGAAATGTGGTAATCGGTGGACAGGGTGAAATGAGAAATGCAGCCCACGAGGCCCCGCATGTATTGCCTGTTAGTGTGCAGAGCGATTTCCTTCATCCCACCTGCCGGGAAGCAAGAGGGTGATGGGGTGAGCCAGAGGGGAGCAGGTCTCGCTAGGAAGCTGGAGCATTTACTGACCAAGATGTCCCTCGGCTGACAGGATGAGTGAAGGCTGTAAGTGCCTCCAGCTGCTCAGTGCAGAGCATCCGTCTAACTAACAGTAACCCTTGAAGGAGCAGACAGACTTGTGTCAACCTGACAAACAACAGGGGCTATTAATACCCGCCTCACGTGGCCCGCTGACCCAATGGACTCAGGTCAAGCCAAACAGGACCTGGTAAATTTTGAAATGTTGTGTGACGGCAACAGAATGTACCAGGTGCTTAAAGGTGATGTCATCTCAGCCGGAAGGAAACACACTGATACTGAAAGCTTTCAATTAAGTTCACTTTTAGGAAATATCATTGGGGTAGAGATCTATTTTGTGTTTCTGTGTCTGCAGTAGCGGTTTCTCAACTATTTACAGAAGCACTACTCATTCTGATTTTGAGAGGGAGCAAGAAGGATCCTCCTTCCTCAGAGGGAATTCTCGGGGCTATATCGGGCAGGTTCTCGTTCTATAAACAAGAAAAGCACGGTTTTCCTGGTGGACCAGCCCAAAGCACAACAGCGTCCAAGTGCTTCCTGCCCCCTCAGCCATGAGTCAAAAGTTCAGAAAATAGAAGAACAGAACATCTGGCAAGCTTCCTAATTTCCAAGTGTTTGATCCAGTGACATGCACCTCTTTGGGGGAACCCCACCATGACAAATGGCGGCCTAGCAAGAAGACTGGGGCGTAATTTAGATTTGGTCAGAGGTCACTTACCCACATACAGAGCACCGTTGATGTTCAGCTGCCTCATCATGCCGGGCGATTTGCCTGTTCTGGCCCCATAGTCATCCACGGTTATCTTTCCGGATTGGCCATCCCTGTAGAAACCACCATTTTTGGAGCTTCGTTCAATTATTCATTCATTTCAATAAAACTCTATTCAAGTCCATCTACTCTGTGCCAGGCACTAGGCTAAATGATGGAGGTGTAAAGAATGAGAGAAAAAAAGATTCCTGGCCCTCAGGAGTTTAGGGTTTCCTGAGGCAAACAAAAAAATTTGAAGTATACATGACAACACTGTGTCACGGCTCCACAGCAGAGGAATGCCAGGATGCTGTGGAATGCAGGAGAAGGAGAGAGGGTCAGGGGAAGCTTCAGAGGAGACTCTGTCTGAGGTGAGCTTCGAAGGCTGGGGAGGTCAGGTGAAGGAGGAGGGTAATGCAAACAGGAAGTGGTGATGCCAAAGAAAGAAAAGATGGGGCTAGTGCAGGTTGGGCATAGAGAATTCTGGAGGTGGGAGGAGAGTGGCCAGAAGCAGATGGTGAAAAGCATTTCTCCTGAAGGGAGCCAAAGAACAGAACCGTAAGGGGAGGAGTGGGGGGGACATGGGGACACATGGTGAGTTTGAACACTACTCTAAGCAAAATGGGAAGTCAATGAAGGAGGTTTTGTAGGTAGAGAGGATTACTCTTGGAGAGGACACAGAATGGCTGAGGAGTTTCTAAAGAATCCAGAGAGTCACCAAAAAGTGACTCTGGGGACAGTGGAGTCGAAGTGTTTATATGTGACAAGGCCTTTGCCATTTTCTAAGCTGGTTTCCAAAACTATTCAGTCCCAGGGACCTTCTTCAAAAAATCACCTCTGTTTGTACAGTTCTTGGTGGGTTGTACCAACCCAGGCTGCACATTTTTTTTTTAGGAGTTCATTACTGATCTTCTAATATTCTTATTTTATAGCAAACTGTTCTTGTTTCTTGGATCACTAGCCTCTCTTCTATCTCTGACAACAGTAATATGTTTTATCATTTTTTCATTCAAGTCTCTGTCCCCATCAAATTGCTTTGTTATGTTGACTTGTTCTGATATCCGTCTTTTACATCGGAGACTTTTTCAAATGCCTAGCGACTCCTGACACCTACTTCACAGTTAAGTGAAGAGAAAAAGCCCTGGGGGGCCTGGGGGGCTCAGTGGTTAAGCATCCAACTCTTGATTTTGGCTCAGGTCCTGATCTCAGGGTTGTGAGATCAAGCCCCACTACAGACTCTGCACTCAGCAGGGCATCCACTGAGACTCACTCCCGCCCCCCACCTCTGCCCCTCCTCCTACTTGTGTGCACACTCTCTAAAATAAATAAAATCTTTTAAAAAGGTAAAAAAGTACTACAAAGCAGGTTAGAAGCTCTATGTGCAGGATGGGTTCTGCTGACTGGGTGGGGCTTCATGTGCTGGGATCTGCTCAACCATTTTCCTGGGGGACACGTGAACTTTCTACTTTCCTTGCTGGCGGGATAGGCCTGGCTCCCAGCATTCTGGAATCTCACTGGGGGCAGAATTATGGGGTTATGGGGTTCTTAATATTCAACATGTGAGCTTGCACACAGCCCCCAGCTTCACACAGTGGCCCAGTGTTTAGTATTTAGTATTTAGTTATGGCTGGCTAGTGCCACCAGCTCAGAACCTTATTTCTCTTTCTCTAGGGAACTGCCTTTCATTATTTTCTGCTGGGTAGGGAAAGGGCAGTGTGCCAGCTAGATGAGGTAGAAAAGGGGCTTGGGTTCTAACTCCTCCGGTAAATTTAAGTAAAGTTTTTAAAGCCAATCTTCCCATTTTTAGCTCCTCTTTCACCTTCCAGAAGTTCCTGGCTCTGCCCTTTTTTGGGGAGACCCAATAATATAAATCTGGCTGGCCAGGCCTCATGTCTTGGTAGCAACCCTTCTAGTAATGAGCTGTAGAGAGAATTCTGTTCTGCCTCACCCTTGAGACCGTACACTGCCTCCCCAATTCGGATAGGCTTTCTTAGAATCTCATACCTGAATGCCATGAGGGGCAATGCCCCCAACAGCTTGTATTGCCTGCCCTGCCTTTCCCACCCCTCTCACCATTACTCCAAAAAATTCCATCCCCCCACCACTTTATTTCATCTAAGAATTTTTCATTTTTTTACATCTCTGAAATGAGGCTATTATGTCTTATAATTGGTGGCATCTTAGGTTTGAAAATAACATGGTATCAACTTCTAAGGTAGTAAGTGATGGAAAGGAGAGTGAGGTTACTCTGACCACAGCCTATACATGAGCTGAGGTGGAAACTGACCACAGCAGCCCCATGGTTCCCCAGCCTCGCTCACGACCTCCCCCATGAGCCCCCCCAGGAAGGGCTATGGCAAATGCTCAGGGAACATGAACCACAGACTCTATTCAGCTCAGTTCCTGGAACCTTCCTCTAACATGGCACGAATGACATGTTCTTACAGAGCTAAGTTTGGGCCTGCTCTTTGGTTTCTCAGAATATACTGTTAAGAATATGGACAGAGGTAGTAAAACTAATTTTAAAGGAATGATTCACCCGAAGTTAATCAGAAGTCAGGGTAGTGACCTCTGTGAGGGGGGAGATGTGTAATTGGGGCAGGGCACACACAGCCTCTAAAGGTGGGGTAACGTGATGTCCAAAAAAAAAAAAAGTGGGCAGTTGCCCACACAGTGAGATTTGAAGCATTCCTCAAAGTCCACAGGCCCTGAAATCTTATCCCACTAGAGACCTAGGTCTCAGGAGAAAGCGAGGAGCTCTTCCAGTTGAGCCATCAAAAAGTTCCTTTTCTGGAAGGTCTCTGTTGAGCGCAGAAATGGGAGCTCAGGTTCTCTGGCCTGTCAATGTTAGGGAAAAGCGAGGGGAAAGCTAAGAACAGCGGCCCAAATGACCCAGGACAGAAGCATCAGGACACCAGGCAAGGTTGGGGAGCAGGACTTTGGGGCCACAGGGACGTGGATAGGACATCCACCTCTTGGTGAGCTCCGGCTCCATCTCCCCCTGTGGTAGGGACTCACCTGACAGCCTTGACACGGTGCCACCGGCCATCACTGAAGGAGCCATTGACCATGATGGACGCCACACCACTGCCCAGGTTATAGCTAATGGCATGAGAAAAGAAGCAGACGGACAGAATCAAGTGAAGTACAGACAGGCAGGCAACCATGAACGATTCTCATTGCAAAAATTCCTTGGAACTCGGAATGTACTTTCCTTAATACAAAACAAAACAATCTTATAAAAAGCATTAGGTTTCCAGGGTAGGCCATGAATGATCCAAAAAAAAAAAAAAAGTTTTCTTTAAAGTCTAATTGCAGTAAAATACATGTAACATTAAAATTTACCACTTGAACCATTTTCAAGGGTCAGTTAACTAGTGTTGAGCATGTTCAAAACTCGTTTTATCTTGCAAAACTGAAGCTCTACAGCCCTGAAATTACAACTCCTCATCCACCTTTCCCCGGCCTCAGGCAACCACCGCTTTCTGTCTCTGTGACTTTGACTATTCTCGATACCTCATGTAAGTAGAATCATGCAGTGTTTGTCTCTTGGTAAATGGCCTCTTTCATTGAGCACAAGGTCCTCAAGGTGTCTGTTGGCTGGTTTGTTGTGGCCGCATGTACAGAAGCGTCAGTCCTACAGAACCAGGAGCAGGAAGGGCTTCATCATTTGTAATGCGTTGTCCTCAGTCAAACACTGTCTCCTCAAAAACCCCAGAATGTGACCTTATTTAGAAAGAGCGTCTTTGCAGATGTAATTAGTTAAGATGAAGTCATCCTGGGTTAGGGCGGCCTTAAATCCAATATGTCCTCATAAAAGGGGAAATTTTTGGACACAGAGACATGCGGGGAGGAAGGCCACGTGAAGATGCAGGCGGAGATTGGAATGGGGCGTCTGAGAGCCAAGAAACACCCAGAATTGCCAGCAGCCACCACTGCCAGGGAGAAAGGGATAGAACATTCTTCCTCAGAGCCCCCTGAAGGAACCAAGGCTGCCAACACCTGTGTGTCAGACATCTCTCCTCCAGAACTGTGAGCGAATACATTTCTCTTGTTTTCAATCTACTGTCACCCACTTTGTGGTCATTTGTTATGGCAGCGCTCAGAAACTAATACACGCATTTTCACTTTCTGAAAAACAAAACAAAACAGAACATGGCAGATGGGCTGAGCCCGAATATATCAGGAGGATCTGCCTAAAATCCTGAAGCGAATGGATGGGACTTAATTCGGCGTCTTATCTGCTCCTCCCTCCCCATTTTACTCGGATAGCAGGCCCACTCAGTAGCTTTGTATTTTCTATTTCGGTTTCCAGATACTCTCATACCCTACGGGTCTCGGAAGACATGCACGTGTTGTTTACCAGAGAGAAACATCCCTCTCAGTCCACTGTTCATTTAATAATTCTAGTTTAATTCAATTCAACAAATATTTCGTGAGTGACTACTCCAGGCTGGGCACTGGGCCAACCGCCTAGACCTCCCCCTTGATAATGTAATAAAGCCTAATGTAATCACGCTTTTCAAAAAAAATGTGTTCCACCATGGCACCTCTTTCCTCAGCTTATATCAGAGGACATGTCTCTCTGTGACTTCAATGGCCAAGAAACAGGAATGTTGAAGGGAAACCTGGTTTAATTACTGAGCTCTGAGAGCAGAGCAAGAAGAGAAAGCACTTGGCTTTCCCCAGGGAAAGCACGATGGATCCTTTCTGTAATCTCGGAGGCTCCAAGGAGTCCCCCAGCCCGTCAACACCGAACCAAGCACGCGATTTGGGTGACCTGGCAAGCTAGGAGACACAGCTGTCACTCTGATCCTGAAAACTTTACAGCTTCCTAATGAATTTTCCCACGTCCAGTGTCTCCTTGTAAGAGGCAGTGTGGATGTGGCGCCGGGTGGCTTGGCGGGTTAAAGCCTCTGCCTTCAGCTCAGGTCATGATCCCAGGGTCCTGGGATCGAGACCCTCATCAGGCTCTCTGCTCAGCGGGGAGCCTGCTTCCCCCTCTCTGTGTCTCTGCCTGCCTCTCTGCCTGCTTGTAATCTCTCTCTTTCAAATAAATAAATAAATAAAATCTTAAAAAAAAAAAAAAGTCAGCGTGGAGGTGGGATTTTCAGGTTTCATTATTTAGTGGCCAAATAACTCTTTGAAGAAATGAATGAGGACGAAGCAAGGCGGAGAGCCGGTTGGCAGACACTGAGCTGAATCATCAGGGGTGGCTTTAATCAATGAAAGGCAGTACAAGGTAACAGAAAGAGTGTGGGCACTCGGATTGGACGAGCCTGCCTTGATTCCAGGTCTTGACAAGGACCTGCTCTGTGACCTTGGCTGTTTGCCGATCACTCTGAGACTGTTTCCTCATCTGTGAAACGGGGGTAATAATACCTTCCCTAAAGGACTATAGGGAATATTACATAAAAGAGCCTGGCACACAGTAAGAGTCAAACAAGTAACCCCACCACCCCAAAAACACAGTCCTTAATGCAGCTCATATTCAAGATTGACAATATGTCTGGAGGAACCAGTAGTAGGGAGAAAGTTGCCACCAAGAGTTAAACTCATCAAGCCTCTCCTGGAAGAGTAGTCATGTGTGAGAGTGAACGAACAGGCTGTAAATATGTAACGACAAAGGTCATGAACACCCAGATCTCAGAATCAGGGTGACTTGGGGATAATCTCAGGGACACTAGACTGGAACGTGATTGTAATCCAGTGAATGGAAACCTTTCAGCTGTTTGGACAAAAGACGGGCATTCTTCTGTTCTCCAACCTTGCTCCTGTTCAAGCAAAGAGCCAGAACGTGCTCAAGGGGGTCAACACTGAACTTAGCAGCCAGGACCTCAGCCCGCAGTGTGTGTGTGTGGGCAGCTCAGACGTCCTCTCAACGGCCTGACTCTCCAACACCACGCATGCTGTTGGACCCTCCAACCAGCCTCCTGCTTCCCCAGACATCCTGTCACCCTGCAGAATCTCTTTGTTTTGTTTTAATTTTTGTTTTTTACAATATTGAAAGACCAAGAATAGTGGTTACCTGCTTTGGGAGATGGCATGGGGGAACCTGCTGGAGTGTGGGAAATGTTCTCTATCTTGTTCTGGGTGGTGGTTTCACAGGTGTCTGCACGTTTAAAAATTTTCCAAAGTTATCAAGCTGTACACCTAACATTTGTGCACTTCATGGAAGTTATACCTCAGTTTAAAAAGAAAAGGAAGAAACATACAAATGAATGAATGAACGCACGGATGAGTGCATGTCGGCTTCTCTATCAATGCCTTGTGAATGTGGTTAGCAGGACTTGGTTATTCTGATCCAAATTTGCCTGCTCAGCTAGCAGTGCCGGGAAACTATGGGGCTGAGCACCGAGGTGGGGGCCAGGGAGAGCCACCAGGTGCAGACTTTCAGAAACCATGTGGCTGCCTCCGTGTGGTGACCACTCCCACCCCCTTAGCCGTACCCCCTTTGAACTGCAGCACTGGGCATTTTGCTAACGTCAGATCTCTTCCTTTTCCCTGTTGCATGAAAATGTTATCAAGGTCACATGGAAATAGCGGGAAAGCTGGTCCAGCAGACAGTTTTCACAAACCTCTTCATTGGTCTTTATGCCCCCCACACAATCATAAAACCTAATGAAGCAAAAACCACCCAAAACCATACTCTTGGCTGAACACCTTGATTCCTTTTCTGCTTACTAAATTTTATACACAGAAACTCAGAAAACATTTGCTCCAAGATTACAATTTTAATAATCAGCACCACTGACATCGAGATAGGCCAGACCCTGCACTAAGCCCTGCCCATGAGTTAACCCATTCAGTCCTCATGACTGTTTGCTTTGGGCTTTTACAGGGAGGCAGGGTAACTTGCCCAAGGTCACGAGGCCATGGGAATGGCTCATGTCTGACTCCAAGCCCAGGCGGTTGACCATTTCAGACCCTGCTTCTTAGGGTGCAGCTCCTGATCGTTTCCAATAGGATTCTGATACCCCCGAGGCCCTGGGCCATCAGAATCTCTGGGGTTGTCCCAGGAATCCACCTCTGAGACCAGCCACGTCCCTCCCCCTCCCGGCTGACTCTCTGTACACTGACATTTTCAAACCACTGGCTGGCACTCTAATTCCTTTCCATGCCCAGCCTCCCGCAACACTTCCTACATCCACACTGGGTGAATGGATGTGAGAAGTGCCTGCTCAGAGGAAGGAAGGTAGCAGAGGCAGCGACACTGCAGCTCCAGGCCCAGGGACAGGTGGGCACAGACGACTGCCTGGGTCGGGGGGAAGCCAGCATCCTCCACACAGAACACAGCCACCACTCCAGGTTAAAAGAAACACACCAAGCCCATTTGCAGAATCCTGAGGGAGAACTGGTAACAGAAGAAAAATGTCTGAGATGCAGGGGGGCGATCAGAGGGTGTCCCGGGGGTGTGGGAAGTGGGGGCTGGCCAGCTGTGAGAGCCCAGAGCCGGTGGGAGGTGCGGCGTGGGCCCAAGTGCAGTTCCCCTGTCCGGGGTTGGTGGTTTAAGAGGGGGGAAGCTGGGCCTCCCACCCACGGCTGAGCTACTGTTTCAGTTCCCCTTTCTGGGCACAATCAAGTACTTGAGGCCTTGGTGAGGTTAACCACAGGAAAACCACAAGAAAATGGCTTCACGGCAGCCAGCCTGAAACTGGGGTGTGAAGAGCTCTGTGTTTGACCTCAGGGCCAAGGGGGGAAAGGAGCCGCGACGGGGAGAGTGCTCCCACCGGCCAGCCCGGAGCCTTCAACCACATGCTCTCTCACAAGTCCCCGACCATCACAGGATCACAACCCCCAGCCCACTCTGCTGTTTAGGGGCAAACGTGATGTTCACAAATGACATTTCCTGTCAAAATGCCTTTTATTCAAACAGAAAAGACTTACATTATTCTACTCAGATTGTCAGTAATCCCTGTGCATGATCTACAGCAGCCCCAGAATTAAATCTTCACCTCCCCCTCAGGTCAGTCATCTTTGTTTTGATTCCAACTGATCCCATATCATTTAGTGAATTTGTGCTGGTCACCAGAGGGGGAATTAAAGAAGGAAAAGCCAGAGAAATTCCTATCCCCATAGAGAACAGATAGATGATCTAGAAACCAGGCAGGGGTTTCAAACCTTAGTGGACAGAATCACTAGGAGAAACAGTTAAAACAGACGGCTGGGCCCCACCCCTAGAGTTGTTACAAGTTTCTGGGGGTCACTAATGCTGCTGGTCCAGAGACCACGTTTTGGGAATCATGGGTCTAGACAAGTTATTTCTAACCTCAAATGAGGATGTACAATCATAGTCTCTAAAGAAACTTTCTCACATCACACAAGCCAGTGCCTGCTCTGGGGAAACCCGGCTCCCACCTGCCATGGTGGGGAGAAGTGGTCTAAGTAATCTTTTAGCTGCTTCTCAGAATGATCCATTTGACAAATTTGAGAACAGTCTCAAGTCACTCAAAAGAGGTAAGAACTTCTGGGACTGCCTTATCAGTATCACTCCCGAAGCAGTCACAAAAATCCAAATGTTGGGTTGGTCCACGGACAGGTGGTCTGGCTTTGCAGGGGAGACCAGAAGGCAGGCGGTCTCCTTCCCGAGGCTGCACAGCTAATAGGGACCAGAGTCAGAATTTACAGGCAGGTCTCTCGACCTTAGCTGGTCACATCTGTCTGAGCCACTTTGAGCAGAGCACTCACACCTGGGCTCAGCGCTATCAAAGCCCTCTTCCTACTACCTCCTAATTTGCAAGTGGGGAGCATATGGCCTAGAACAGGGGTCCAAAAATGTTGTGTAAAAAGCCACATGATAAGTATTTTAGGCTTTGCCCTGGAATCCCTACTGAAACTACTCAAGTGTGCCCCCATAGCATGAAAGTAATCAGATAATATATAAGTGAATGAGTATGGCAGAATTCCAACAAAACTCCATTTACAAAAACGGGTGACGGGCTGGATTTGGCCCTCAGGCTAAAATTTGCCAACTGATGCTCTAGAAGGTGGATGCTAGAAAGAAACTCCAAAAGCCTTGCAGAAGCTTGGACCTTCAGGTCCATTTTGGCATACAGGGTGCTGGCTTACTTTGGCATCACTCTGTTTGGCATGACCAGTCCTGAGGGGTTAGGTTACCTGAACACCAGGGCTCCATCTCGAAGGCCCAAGGAAATGAAGTCACTGTTGGGTCTCATGGGGCTATCTCCCCTCCAGAACAACAGACCATCCTTGGCAGTTGTCTTAAACCTCATGAACGCATTTGATCTTGATCCGGATACCCTGGGGAAAATGCACAAATTATTCCAACAGTTCAACCCGTCTCCACCAACAGCCATTCTAAATAGGCCCAGTTTTGTCTGTTAGCCCCGGGGGAGCCAGGTGTAAGGGTAATCTGGCATTTCTGACACATACTACCAGGAAATGACAAATGGCATCACCACCACAGGCCACACGATGGGCCTCCAATTCTGGACACTCATTCTGCAGCAGTGTCTTCTGTCCCTGTGGTGAAACTCCACAAGAGGCCATTTTATGAGTTACAGATTAGCTAGACTCTGGCCAAAGCTGGCATCGAGGCTATACCTCCAATTCACACCTCAATATTCCCTCTTTCCTGTCCCCCCCTCAAGGGGCCTTGGAATACTGCTCCCCATTCCCCAACAGAAAGTGAGTTTCTTAATTGCCAAGAGGTTCAAGTTGGCAGCTCTCTGGGCCTGGTCATGGCTATGGATTGCCCGCTCTGGCAGTGACTGTCCTTGAGGGAGTGACTGGACAGGGGGAAGAGTGTCAGACAAGGAATGTGGCTCGATAGGATAACGGTTTTGAGAGCTGCTAGGGTGGAGGCAGGGTGGAAAGGAACAGGAAGCTGAGAGGAATGGAACGGGGCTCAGACAGGTCAGCTTTTTTCTGGGGACTGATGCCCTTGTATCTTTGGGGAGAAAGGGCTGAAAAAGGAAGAGGCTCTCTTTGGACCCCACGCCAAGACAACCTAGATAAACACAACATGCGATTAAAGAAATGAAGCAGTGTCCGTCTGGTGTGTGTTCAGTTACCAGGTGCATCCAGCGCCCTGGGAAAATTTCTCTCAACCACTTTCTCCCTTGAAAGGCCCCCAAACTCATCGACCTTAAGTACTGGGTGCCTTTTGCTTAAAGCTTTGCCTTAGTCTGCTAAGATGCAGTCAACCTAAAGAGGAAGGAAAATTCTAGAATGACGGTGCTGGTGGCAGAGTGGGGGAAGGCACCCTATAAACTATAAGGAACTAGAGGAGGACAAAGAAAGAGAGAAGGGCACATTGGAAGCACCACAGATGAGCTTGGCTAGGGTGAGGACTCTGCCTGGGTAGGGCCAGCCTTTTCCTTGTCTTGTCCGCACGCGGTACCAAACCAGGGGCTTGGACTCCAGGGCAGGGCCGGAGCTTCTGCCACCAGGCATGAAAAGCCTGGCTAGCACCTGGTCATCTCCTCGGATCAGGCTCTTGTAGCCACATGAGGAGAGCCGAGAAGCCCCTCATTGAACTGGCCAGAGCCTGAAGGGGACAGTGGAGCTCTGCGGAGGAAGACGCAAGGTAGCATGTGGACTTGAAGACTGTGATGGCAGGACCACAGGAGTGCTTCCGCTGCTGGCTCCAGGCAGGACTGCACACTGTGGCCAGAGGACAGCGCCCAGCTAACTGTCCCACCTGGGGAATCACATTCAGAACCCCAACTTGGGGCGTGTCAAGTTCTCAATGCTTCCCAGTGCCCGGCTGCTGGAAATCCTGGGGCTGGGCAGTCTCCTCCCTCCAGGCCCTCTGACCAGAAAAGGTTTGGGCTGTTGGTAACAGGGTTGTCTGAAAGGCAGCACTTTTCAAGTAGAGTTTGTTTTTGTGTTTGTTTTGTTCTAGTTCTATGTCTATTTTGAGTTTTTCTCCCCTCCCCTGAGGCCATGGCTCAATGGCCTTCTTGGAGAATTATCTTCTGGCAAGTAAGATAAGGAAAAGTCCTGGGAAAGACTTTGAGAAATGGACCCCCGCAGAGATAAGGAAGGTGCCCCCTATAACTTATTACCTCTTAAGGATATCTGGGTTGTCGTAGATCAGGTAACTGCGCCCGATGAACTGCGGGATCTCAATGGCTTCTGTGATGGCTGAGACAGAAGAGAAAATGGAGGTTACATGGTATTCGGATCTCTTGACCCCAGCCCTCAATCACAGGGCAGGAAACTACAGAGGATGCCAGCTCCTGGAAAGGGGACATTTAACAACTTGTCAGCCCCTTCCTCTTGGCTGCCCACGTACTTAGCCAGGTTCGGAGCTGCCTGTCACGGCTTGGGGTTGGTGTCTCCCCGTGGTCACCTCCCTGGGGCTGGCTGTCACTGCTGCTGGCCTCAGCACTACTGAGAAGTCCTCGCAGTATGCTGAAACTTGAACTGTGCCCAATTATTCTTGGAAGCCAAAGAGTAGGTCTTGGGCCATGTGGGGAACAGCTGGGGATAACTCTAGATACTCTCCAAGGGAGGCAGAGAAAACAATCCCCAAACAAAGCCCACCAGGATTTCATTATCTGAAGCCAATCTGCTCTAGGACTCCTACTCCTTCAGCCATGACTTCAAGAGACTGGTGAAGTAGGCAGGATAAGGTTTTCGGCTCAGTTGTTTTTGTTTTTTTGTTCTTTGTTTTTTTAAATATAAATCACCTTCCAGTGTCATGTTTTAGAGCCTCTTCACCATATTCTCATGAAGTAGCAGAGAGTATGGAGGACGGCTGGTTATTCCCATGTCACAGAAGTGGAAGACGATGCATGGGGGTCATCAAGGATTTGCCCAAGGTCACACAGCAAAGAGAGCATAAGACCATATAGCAGGTGGGCTCTTCTTAATTCTGGCCCTCAGCCCACCTCGGACTTCCCAGTATCTTAGCAGTGTATTTGCTTCTTCCTAATGTCTCATGCCTTTGTTTTCCTAAGGAATCACCCTTTCCCACATGGCTATATCTTTCTCCCTTCAGAAAGACAGAGAAATGACCGTTGAAGGAAATTAAGATGGAATGAATCGCATTTTTGAAGAGACGTGCAAAACGAGAGAGAAGAAGCCAGCTTATAAGAGCAGTTAGAGTTTCACCAAAAAGCATGCTTGATGCAAAGGAGACACCGAGCTGACTCCACGCCCAGGAGAGAAAACGTAAAATTATTTGATACTATGAACTGCAGGAAAGTTTACACTTAACTTCTCATCATGAAAAGAGAAAGGGAGAGACAGAGAGAAAGGAGAGAGAGAAAGGCAACAGCGAACCCCCAAACCCAATGACCTTGAGCCCCAAGGATAAATTCCTCTGTTGGCAGGTCACCCGTGCAGGTTTCCACAATGTTTAAAAAAAAAAAAAAATTTAAAAAAGGAAAGAAGGATGGAGGAGGGGGAGGGAGGGAACAAGAAAAGCAAAGGAAGAAAAATGAAAGTCGAATAATTTCAGAGGTAATGCTCAAGAAATTGCTTTCATGTTCTCTGACACTTCACAGCTCCGGACAGGGGGCTGCCGGCCCAGGGGGTGCCGACTGGAACCAAGGAAGGCTCGATCTAGGACGGTGGCCCCGCTTACTGGTGGGCTCGCTGGCCATGCTTTCAGTCACTTGCGGTTGGCCATGTTCTAGCAGATGCTCCTCCTGTCAGAAAGCCAACAGGGGCCTAATGCTGGGTCACCATGCCTGTGTCACTGCCCTCACTTCATCCCACCGAACCGCCATTTCCCCTCTCAGCATCACCGGAAGGGTGGGCACGGTCCCATAATGTATCCGAGAGAGACAGACCATGGTCACAAAACTCTGATTATGTGTGTGGTCGGAAGGGTTCTATTTTATCATCAGTTATTGTCGTTGCTCTTCTTACTGTGCCCAATTTAGATGCTACACTTCATCGTAGGTGAGCACGGCTGGGAAGAAACATAGAGTATATGAGAGTCTGTACTGTCTGTGGTTTCAGGCATCTGCTGGGGGTCTTGGCAGGTGCCCCCCACAGATAAGGGGGGGCTACTGTTAACTCCAAAATTCTGGCCACACCGCCAGCCTCTCTCCCTCTGGTTAAAGCAGGTATGAGGAAGAGGGGAAGAAAAGGAAGGGAAACAGAGACAGGTAAAAACAGCGGGGATGCAAAATATGGGCTGAGGAGGAAAATGAACGGAAAGAAGGAGAGGGGGGGAAGGAGAAAAGAAGCTGCCAAGGAGGGAAAGGAGAGCCGAGTGCCCGGGCAGCCTTCAGGTGGGGGAAAGAGTGGGGCGGAAGCCAGGCAGCGAGGGAAGGACCCAGAGGAGTAGAAGTCGAAATGAGAAGGCAAGAGAGGAAGAGGGACAAGGGGGCCTGTTGGTGGGATGCGGGCCCCTAACTTCAGGATACGAGTGCCCAGGAGGTAAAAGGAGAGGCTAGCCAAGCTGTCAGAGGAGTCATTCCCAGAGCTAAACATAGCCAAGGCTCCCCCGCTGGGTTTGGCTCACCCCCAGGGTAAGAGGCACAGGCAGGGTCTGGGCCTGCCCTTATTGGCCATGGGCGTGGGCCCGTGGCCAAGAGCCATCGTTCCCCTGGACTCCTTGAAATGGGCAGGATGTGCTTGTCACATGTCAGCTGGGCAGAGAGCCTCCAAGGGGTCAGCTGTCTGCCAGGCGCCCAGCTCTGGGGTTCAGGCTCTCCCCGAGGTCCCGCTGGGAGAGGAGTGCTATCCCGGGCCTGCTGGATTTAGAGGGAGGAGTCCCACCTCCCCAGTGGAGCGGCCGAGTCCCACACCACTGAGCCAAGTTACCCTCCACATGCGGTTGGCCTGCACGGAGCCCACGGCCTGGCCAGAGCCCCCCTGGCAGGAGCCCAGGGCGCTTTCACGGTGTCTCATGGGACCTATTGTACTTACTATTGAGGCAGTAGTTTCCACACTCTGCCAGGTGCCAGCATGGAACAGAACAGGGAAAGTCAGAATTCCACAGTTGTTGTAAAATCCCAAATACCTCGGTTGCAGATCACTGGAAACCGGCCTTATTTCCCTCATAAAGCCCTGAGAGGGCCCAGCTTGTCCTCTTAGAGGAATGAGACTAGAATCCCACAGGAACCGCTGGAATCTTTCTCAGCACAATTAGCACCAACTCCCCTCCCTTAGCCTCCACTTCATGGTGGGGGTGGGGTGGGGGGTGGACAAAGAAGGGATGTGTCCCTCCTCTGACACTTCTGAGGCTCCCTGAGTTCGAACTAACAATTCCCCGTTTATTCTAAACCTGGAGAAACAGTTCTTTGCTAAAGAGTTACTTACCTTGTCAATGATTATTACTTTTCTTGCCTCTAGCTACATGTGAAAGAGGAATGAGAAGCCAGCCAGCTGCCTCTTTTCTCTCGGTGATGGAAAAATATCCCCCAACTCTCCCCCGCACCCCGCCCTGCTCATTCTGTGATTAACAAAGGGCAAGGGGAATGCTCCAGGAATGACCGGACTGAATAGAAAATGGTGAAAATCTACTCACTGCAGGCAGTATATGTGGATAAATATTAATTCTGGGCTAGAACACGAGAGCTGGAAGTGACCATCTAGCCCTTTCCGGCCCTCTGTAGCTTATTTAAATATTGTAAACATGATGATATTTTATCCTAACCCGATGTTTTCAACACCATCTTTTCTTCTGCAGCAAAGGCACTAGTGGAGAAGTGTTTTTGTCACGTTTTCACGTTTATACCTAAAAGTTCGTGCCATCTGCTGACACAAAAAAGTACCCAATGAATAGCCGCCTCCAAGCCACACGAAGCCAATTTTCCACTTGAGGGACATGAGATTCCCAACCGAGTTGGCGGGGTGCGGGCTCTTCCTTACAGTCACAGGGCCCCAGAGAAGGAAGGACCTGGGGGGCTGTAACCTAACTTTCCCAACCCAGCAACATCCTGATGGATGGCCACCGGGCCCGAGGCAGCTCCCTCATCCACCAGGCAGCACCCTCCCTTGCTGGACAGTTCTACTTGGTCCAGGATTCTTGGTTCCATGATGCAGCCTCTGTAGCTGGAGTAACAACCACCAAACCCCTTTCTGTCCAGGACCAGCCTTCAACTCTCTCAAGACCACCACCCAGGGGACGCCTGGGTGGCTCAGTTGGTTAAGCAGCTGCCTTCGGCTCAGGTCATGATCCCAGCATCCTGGGATCGAGTCCCACATCGGGCTCCTTGTTCTGTGGGGAGCCTGCTTCTCCCTCTGCTTCTGCCTGCCACTCTGTCCGCCTGTGCTCGCTCTCTCTCTCTCTCTGACAAATAAATAAATAAAATCTTAAAAAAAAAAAAAAAAAAAGACCACCATCCAGGCTGAACACCACCACACTGCTCCATTGTTGAATGACACAACAAGCTAAGGAAAAAACAGTCCCTATAGCCTGCATAAGGAATATGCTGTACGAATTTGTGCATTTATAGACTGATTTTTCCTAAATTATGGCTTACATGTACTGAACTATTTTTTCATATATTGGGACCAGAAAAAGCAAAATCATCTAAATCAGACCTCGCAGTGTGCTGTGAATTGGCTAAACACAATAGAAAATGTTCGAAATGTTGCATTTGGGGTAGATGTGCAATGATGAGACAAGATCCCATCCTGTAGGACTGAGGACCGTGTGCCCAAGCCCAGTTCCCGGTCAGTCATGAGTGCGGAGCGGCTCTCCCGCTGCAGGGAAACACCGCCACCTAGCGGCCGGACGAGTCCTGCACGCCCCGAGTCCAAACTCGGTCAATGCAGGGAAGGGAGGCCCAGGCCTCAGAGTTCTTTTCCAAATGGCCTGTGTGCTACTGGCTGGGAGAAGCCCCGGGGGAGACAGCTGCATTCTCTACCTTGTCTTGGACACTCCGATCACAGCCAAGGCGCCAAGAAGTCCCCCAGAAGAGAGAGTTGTTGAAACTGGGGTTATTCAGGATTACCCAAGCTTACGTGCCCACAGAACCCCAGCTCCCATTTTGTGTCTGTGAACGCATGTTGTCCGTCTTCGCATGTGTGCTCAGAACAGCCATTAATATTTCTTAGAACCTAATTTTGTACATGAGCTTTGTTAAATTCTGCTTTAACTCACTAGTAACCTACTGAGATACAAGAACTCTGAGGGACCCGACGCAAGATGGGTAAATTTGGATGAGAATAGAGAGAAGGAGAAACGAAATCTGTAAGGACGGGGCATACCTTTTCTGAGGAGGGAGGCCTTCGTGACACCCCTCTTGTGAGAGGAGAAGGGGGGGTCTCAGTATTGGGGTGTCCCAAGGGGGTGCCTAGATTTGAGGTGGCAGAAGGCACCTAAGAGTGAGACACCCCACACGGAAGGAGAGGGGACCACCAAAGTCAGGCTGTATGATTTTTGTAGGCACCTGAAGTTAGAAGTAGGTTGGGAGTCAGAACAACTGGCTTCTCCTGGCCTGGTGGGTTCCCCAGGTTGAGGTGGACAGTTCAGTCTTCTGTAGCTGCTGGTACTGCAGGGAGCCCACAGCGTCCCGGGAGCAGTAAGGAACTCAGTGGGAGTTCGATGCCTACTTCTTTCTGAGCTCAGCCTTGCAGGGACAGAGGGGGAGGTCCCTAGACCCCTGTGATGGTCTGGGTGTCTAGACCACTCCAGGATTTGCCCGAGTTTCTGGTTCCAACCCTCCTGGGCCACCAAGAGGTGAGAACAGGTGCCAAGCTCCCAATGAGTGTCCTAGCGGAAATCACCTGCGTGCCACAAACTCCCTGACCAGGGTAGAGAAAACCAGACCCACCAGGGATTCCCCAACACTACACTGCTGGAAGAGAAGGTGGCATGGATTGAATGAGGCCTAGCGCTGGTGACTTCCGCAATGTGTTGTTGTAAAAGGATTTAACTTCCAGAGGGAATACTAAGAAGAGGTTCTTGCTTTTGAAACATGATCTGGTTATCAGGGAGGGGAAAAAAAAGGCCCAAACTTTTAAATATAGGAAGTTAGGGACCACCTCGCTGGATTAGACAAGACCGTTTCCTGTCTACCTGTCAGGATTCATCCTGACGACCAAGGATGGCTTCTGAGCATTCCTGGTCTCTCCCACCAAGAATCTAACCAAACTTTTAGAATGTTCTTCTGTATCTCTGTGGAACAGTAGAGCAGCCCATCTCTCTCCCTCCTCTTTCTAATCCTCACTCAGGACGAGATGCTCACCCCAATATTAGAGCAGTCCGTGTGACAAATGCATGCTACCACGTGCCTGCAGGGGTCCAGAAAAAATTGTCCTTAACAGCCTAACCTGTACCCAGTCTCTCATTAATGCTTTCAAGCCATATAACAGAAGAAATGACTGCTATAGGCCACCCAGCCCCCTGCCATGCATAAGCCTTCCTAGGAGTAGCCATGGCTGCTATTGGGGCAGAAACGCTATCTTTATTTCAAAGCATAAGGAAACACTGATACAACACGAGGGGAGGTGATAGTTGGCCTGGGTTTTACTCTGGCCTCAAGCCTAGCATATTCCAGAAAAAGAGGCCTAATGCCCCCCAGGTCCCCTGGCTGCTGTCCAGGACCTCCCTGGGGCTTGACTCCTCACGCTGGTGATACTTGCTTCTCACTGAACCCGAACCCACAGTTACGAAGCTATAAATGTGAGCACTTTAGATCTGTTATGGCTACTGCTCTGCAGCGGAAAACGAGGCTTAACAAGATCGCAAATTATCCTGTCCTTCCTCCTCTAGTTCTCTAAGTGAGACGTTCATTTAAGCCTGGACTTTATATATGGACCATTAAGGTGAGTATTTAAGGCAGGAGCAAATCTGAATTGCTTCTGGTAAAGCTGGAGACCCAGGAAACTCAAACACTAATGTGTAAAATCCAAACTCAATTTTCCGAATGAATGGGCTGCTCTTGAACTAAATCTCCACAAGTACGTGCCATTAGCCAAACAACAATTTGCTTGTTAGAATTATAATCAGGATCTTTCCAGAAATGGATCCATTACTCTTCTTCGGGGCTTCATCACTAGGGTGAGCTATGTTCATAAATGTATTTCATATAATTTGCCACGCAGTTTTCAAAATTCACTGTAATAAAATACGATGCAGGCTTCCAACCAGCAAATTAGCATTCCTATTTCCCTTGGTCACTGCAAAACAAGTTCTCCTACTATTCTGACACTGTAGCATCTGCCTGTAATTGTCTTCCCCTAAGCCCAAATGCTGATAAAGTTCAGGAACCTGGAAACAGATGGAAAAGAGAGAGCACACATCCCTTCACTTAGGCTCACCTCCTCACTTCCTGTGGCCTGATGCCTTTTTTTTTTTTTAATTAGTTCCCAGACAGGTGAGGCCGTACTAATATTTGAAACAAAAAGATCCAATGGCCCAACATGACCATATGCTGGTAGGCGTCTTCCAGACACAAGGTCCGTGGCCTCCCTGGGGCAGGTGCGGAAGCTCCATCCAGTAGGGACTGGAGGCCTGTCACCTACTCTAGCTTTCAGACAAGTGCGGGCTGGAAGCTGAGTAGCTCTCGGCATGTGCAGTGGATTTTCTTCTTCTCACCAATAACAATGACGGTGAGTACTGGTGGAGGGCTTAGTAGACATGTTTCTCAGGAATAAGCATCGCCTCATTTAACCTACATTACCACCCTCTGTGTTAGACATTATTGCATGATTATTCCCGTTTTATTGAGGAGGAAACCCAGGCACAGAGGAAAGAGCATGAAAAATAGCACTTCACAGAAGGTTATTTATAATTCAGCAGAATTTACCTTTTTCTGTCCTGGGCAAGATTTCTCAGATTTCTCGTTATCGCGTTCACAGGTAGAGGTCAACATACTTACCAGCCTCTATAGCCCAGGCACCCACCTATCAGGACAGACTCTGGGTACGGCTCAGAGGCAAGGGTCCTGGAAACCCCCTCTACACTAGGATTTAAGCTTTTGGTTCCCAGACCATCAGGGCATTCTCAGGGAAGAGGCCCGCTGTTAGAGGTATTTTGACATTATGATTCTTCTTTAATAGGATAATTAAACATGGGACATGCCAGCTATCACATTCCTGAACTCACTGCTCAAAACCACGTGCCTGGCTGTCCTGGGGTTCGCAGCCCCTCCTGGAAGAGTGCGGCCCCCGTGCTTCTGGAGACACCCCCTCCCGCTCCATGCCTACCTTTCTGGCAGTGCAGGCCCTCGAAGCCCAGGGGGCAGTCGCACTCGTAGCCCTCCTTCCTGGGCCGACAGCTGCCCCCGTGTGCACAGGGCCCCACCACGCAGGGGTGGGCTGCGTTCTCCACATTCACGCCCCACGTGAAGTCGTGCTTCAGGTGGATGGTGCGGTCGTTCAGGATGATCTGCAGGGGACAAAAGGTCAAGATGTTCGGGCACTCGGGACACATGTTCACAGTCGGCTGAAGCCTCCCTCGGCATCCTCACCTGCAAGACGCCTGGTGAAGGAGCTTTCATAAAAGAGAGAACGTCCAGTTCCGGTTTTTATCACCTTGTAAAAGCGATGCAGAAACTGATGTCATTACCTGTGGCCCTTGGGAGACTCTGCAGAGAGGAAAGCATCCTCTGGCTCTGGAAGATTCCAGGAGGTCGTAAAGAGGTCCCCATAAATGAGGGTCCTCAACCTGGCTGCCTGTTAGAATGGCCTGGGGAACTTTAAGAAAAGTACCGATGGCCGGGGGCCACACAGGTCCCCCTCAGCATCTCTGAGGGTGGGGGCCGGTCAGCAGTCACTTTTAACAGCTTTCCAAGTGACTCGAAGATGCAGCCGAGGTTGAAAGGTGCTGCTGTGAAGCCAACAGGAAAGAATACAAGAGAAAGAACCACACGGGCAGGAACCAAAGGGGAATGGATGGCTCCCGGGGGCAGTGGGGCTGGGAGAAGCGTCTCCCTGTGCTGCTGTGTTCTTCTGCCTAATGGGCTCCAGGGAATCTACAGCTCCATCAACTGGGTCTTCCCGATTGTCCCACCCACTCCGCTACCCTCCCTGCCTGACACTCTTGAATTCCCTTCCTCTCCACATCCTGTTCCCCACCGTTTAAAAAAAAAAAAAAGAAAGAAACTCAGATGCCATTCTTAGCACTGCCATGCAGACTCACTGCGACAGGAGAGCTCCTTTGCCTTCACACCCTTCTCCCTGCAGTGGGGGCTCTAGTGCAAGTGAAGGATGACAGGGAGAGGTTACTGGGTTTCCAGCCCCAAATAAACGGAGCCAAGCTTTTCAGTCCTTGCTGTGGAGAGTGTGCTTGTTTTGAGCTGTGGGTGCTTCAGTGTCATGCACTTCCAACCTCGGCTGCATGTTCGAGTCACTTTGCGGAACCTGCGGACAGAGACCTCCACCCTGCAGGGCGTCCTGAGAGGTTAGCCGTGGTCCTTCCTGCCACTAATGCGTGGTTCCACAGGCTTGCCTGGACCTTGGAGGGTGTCGGGAGAGTTGGGAGAACACTTCTTTTCCTGGTCTTGAATCTTACAAGCTGCAAGAAAGCAGCCAGAATCCTTCTATAGTTGCCCCCTTTTCATGCTCCAAGTGAAAGACTGTGAAACTGAGTCATACGTACTTGAGACAAGCCAAGATGCTACCGTCCACCGCGGGACATAGCAGAGCCAGTGACTCAGCCTCTGGGAGGGGAGGGTGTCCTGCCCAGGAGGTGCGGAGGAAAGGGTTCTGTGTGCTGTGAGAGGGGGGAGGGGGAAAGCCTGACAAGGGTGGGGAGAGGGCATGGGGCCCCTTAGCATCTCAGCTTGCTTTCTAAGTGAGAATTTCAAAAACATGATTAAACACAGCCAACTGTGCTGATGGGGGACTATGGGCTGAGCTGAGGTGTCACGGATATCACTGTTCAGCCACACAGGGAAACACATCAGAGTCAGCAAGTTTGACTGGACCCCTTTTGTGGAACCCACACCGGGATACAAGAGGAGAAAGAGCTCCGCGGGGCCTTTCTGAGTGCAAATCATGAAAGGGCCTCCTTTCATTGGCCTCCTTCATTCTGGCCTCCCCCATGCTTCATCCCAAGGCTAGAAAGGATCAGCGGCCCACCGCCCACCATTGGTTGCTTAAGGAAAACAGGACAAAGCTAACATCCAGGAATCGAATATGCTTTTCTTCAAATCCTTTTTCTCCCAGGGTTTCATGGTCCTGGAAATCTGGTTTGGTGAGCCAGCCTGCATGTCTGTTATAGACAAAACATGTTATCATAACCGGAGAGGTCATGAGCAGCCCCAAGGGAAGGAATAACAGACAAATATGAGTGGGGTCAGTGTCCTATAGCTTTAACTAGCTGAAGGATTGTTTTTGCTAAACCTTCTATGGAAGGACTTCCTTCATCTATGCTCTTAGGGGCTGGGTTATGTGATGGGTGAACAATTGTTAACTTGCAGGGGTGGCAGTGGGCATGGAGATGGGATTGGGGGTTGGCTCTTGAGCAGACCGCAGAGTAACCCCAAAGAGAAGCACAGAGCCGAGACTGTCTAGGAGACCCCCTTGGCCTCCTTCCCTTTGGTAGAAGCATCGGCAATCACCTGACACCTGCTCCCTCCCTCAGCACTGCCCGGATCCTTTGGTGGATTGGCTGTAAGGATTCATCTTCACTGAGCTGCGTTCATGGAATGTCTGCTGGACAGAGGCCTGGGAGCAGACGTTATCAGAAAGTGGGATTGGAAAGCTCTGTGGCTAGCATTAAGAAAGAAAACCTTAAAACTTTCCCCAAGCTTCTTTTTTGGAGGCATTGGATTACAGCGATCACAGTTCTCGATCCCATCATCTGCAGACCAGGCCACACAACAAACATGCGTAAGTGAAGCCGGTACCTTCTGGATGCTTCCACTAAATGGCTTCAGGATGCCCGAGTTCTTCTTCACATCATCGTAATTCGGGACTCCGCCGATAAAAATGTCCGTGTTGCACTTAATCTGCGTGAAGCCTCCCTGCCAACAGAGGAGACAAGAAACACGACATAGCTTCGGAAAAGGTAGTCAAGGCGACCAACGGGTACAGACACCCTGGGGACACAGCCCAGCAGGCTGGCTGGACTTCCCCATTGGCCGGCATCGCCATTTACCCCCACTGTTGGAACGTCTGTACGTGCAGTAACCTATCTGAGACTCTGTTTCGACATCTATAAAATGGGAACCCTAATGTCTACCGCCGAGAGCTGTCACGGTGCGTGTGGTGGGCTGCACGACTGCCCACCCGTAGTCAGCGCTTCTCCAAAAGCACCCCCTCTCCCTGCAGGAAGACCAGCTCCAACCTGCTGATCTTGATGGGGCCAGGGAGCTGGCTCCAGGCAATAAAACTCAGGCAGCAGAGAAATGAATCACGTCTTCGCAGAAGCTTTCCGAGCCAGAGAGTAGCTCACGGTGACTCTCAGCCTGGGTGCACCATTCAAGCTGCACCTGACCAGGGACGCCTGGGGGTCTCAGCCGATTAAGCATCTGACCCTTGGTTTTGGCTCAGGTTATGATCTCAGGGTGGTGAGATCAAGTCCCACCTCAGGCTCCGTGCTCAGTGGTGAGTCTGCTTGAGAGTCTTTCCGTCTGCCCCCATCCTCCCCACCACCTCAAATAAATAAATAAAATCTTTTTTTTTTTTTTTTTTTTACAAAAAGCTGCGCCTGACCACGGATGGATATGCAAGTGAGAAATAAGCCCTTATTGTAGCTTTTGATATTTCGGAGGCGTTTGTGATTGCCATGAGCACAGTCTAGCCTCTCTTGAAGGCTGAGATCTGCTTCCTTAGCACTTTGCCCCCGGTTGGATGCATAATCAGCATTCCTGTGTGACCAGCTATTGGCAGTGGTAAAGACAGAACCGCTGGAGGCCAAGAGAAAAGGCAGGCGTGGTGGGTGGGAGGCATTCCTTATCAACTACAAAGGATAGAGAAATTCTTCTGTTTTCCATATTCTGAGAAAAGTTCCCATGTCAACCCTCAGAGGCTTTCCCTGTTACTGGTTACTTCCCAGCCTAAACTCTCAGGCGTGGGCTGGACAACAAACTGTGTGTCATAGTTAGTGTCCAAATTCCTCCAGATAAGAGCTGTAAGCAAAAAGTTAAAATGTTCCAACAAAGGGAGACACATTGAAATCTGAGACCTCTGGGATGAGCACTCTTTAGGTAACGTAAGTCAGGTTGCCTCCGACTTATGGGGAAATGAAATATAGATAGTAGCATCATCTAGTCATTGATTTAATCAGTATTATTGGGCATTTCTGTGTCCCAGGCACTAAATGCTGGCCAGACAAGAGGGAACAAGGAAGTTCCTGCCCTCCAGAGGCTTACACGGGCAGGTGGGACTAGCTCAGCAAGGACAGTTCCGGTGAGTCTAGAAGTACTTGCTGGGGGGAGGTGTGTGTCCCATACCCTAGCCTGGACTCAGAGAGTTGGGGAGGTGGAGGTGGTTGAGGAAGAGTCAGAATTATAGAAACCAGACAAAGTCAGGGCTTGCGGGGAAACAGTAGGTATAGAACAGAGGCAGGGAGGGATTAGACACTGCGTGCATAGAAATTTGCTCTGTACCCAAAAAGCAGTGGAAGAAAATAGTCCTATCTGTGTTTTAGGCAGATCACTGGCCGGAGGGAGGAGAATGGAAGTGGCACCAGGTCCAAGTAGGGAAGGGGAGACAGGGAGGGCAGAGAGGAAGGGGCACCGTCTTGGGGGGAGCGCACAGTGGCGGGGTCCAGCCAGGTAACGGCAGAGAGGTCTTGACTGGGATGCGAACAGCACTGCCTTCAGTCAATAACCTTCAGCAGCTTCCGGGGTTCTTGCTTAACTGGCCCAGGGTTGGCAGGATGCCGTGCTCAACAAAGTAGCCGAAGGGCTTTCCGGACTTCTAGCGGCTGCCTAGAACACGGCCCCAGGCAGCAGCTGTCACCACACACCCACAGGCGCCCATCACTGTCGCGTCTTAACTGCTACCCAAAAGTTCAAGTCAGATAATAAGAGGAGAGGAGGAAGGCTGTAGGGTCAGAGGGTTTCAGAGAAACAGGCTGTTTTGAAGAACCTTTGAGTTGGAACAGGACCAGCCTCATGGGGTGAGAGTTGCTTCCCTTCGGTTGCTCAGTAAACCCTCGCCCCCACCCCCAAGCCATCGACAAGAGGCTGGGCTGCAGCTGCCCCACCCACGGGAAACCGCAAGAGAAAAGCAAATAGACCCCACCAAAATGAGGCTTTGTGTCTAGATCTGCCACTTCTGGTTAGCTGGAGGTGGATGGGAAACCTGAGTGAAGCCACTGGTTGGGGTTTCTAGAGCCCTTAAGTCGGGCATGGACTCAACCCTGGATGGCTGGTATTTCTCAGCTGAGCGACCCAGGACTCAGTTTGGCTTTAGTGTGGACACTTAGGGGCTGACATCCTGGGTTGACCCCCAGCAGTGTTCTCTAATCCCAGCTATCTCTAAGCTCTAGGACCACTATTCCTAATAGCACTGCTCTATCACCAAAAGGGTCAGCAATGCCTTTGGACGTGGTATGGGCAGCTGGGGAACAGAAAGCCCTGGGGGGAAGATGTGATTAAGGCTCAGCTCATTGAGATCAAGCATGGGGACTTCCACACCTGCTTCAGAGCTGCCTCAAAAAAAAAAAAAAAAAGATAAAACCACCGCACATGCACCCAGAATAGCTACACTTTACCCTCATGTTTACATCGCTTTCCAGGTGGGAGCTGTGCTCCAGGCCTGTCTGGTTCAAAAGCCAACAGGGAGGCACAGGTTCCACCATATTGGTTTAATTCTCACTCTTTGATATGGTAGCAACAGAAACTGTGAGGTATGGTTTCTACCTTTGTGTTGTCTCTTCGCTGTAGAATACCAATGGTAAAATACCATGTCCTGAAGAGCTCTTTATTTGTAACCAAAGGCCTTGACCCTACTATCTACAAATATACCCATACTGAACTTTTGTTCCTGTTGTACAAATATTTGTGACTAAGGCCTACAGAGATACGGTGCTTTTTTGAATTTATATTAAGTCAACATACAGTCAAGTCTACAGCTGTGAATTTCTACTTCTATCTTGGACTAAATTCAGCTGTTAGAATTTTCTGGGTCATATCAGAAGTGATTCCTGTTCTCCCTTTACAATCCATCTCCCTCCTTCCCTCCATCCATCCCTCCCTCCCCTCCAACCTGTTTTCCTTCCTTCCCTTTCTCTTTCTTTCCTTCCTTCCAAAATACATATAGAACATTTTGTGGGTCTGAAGGGTCCTCACCTCTTAAAGCAGAACTCAGTTTGGGATTCTTCTAATCATGAGGAGGTCCTTGGTTTGGACAGGACCTCTCACCACTGCCACCCCTAATGCTGGCCTCTGGACATATATGTGTCCTTCCTTTTTTTTTCTTCTTCAACCCAGTACCTCTTTCCTCACCAAAAGTCTCTTTTCCTTCCTTTTCTTTTTCTACCAATCCATTTTCTTATCAGAATACCCACATTCATTAATAGCTTCTTTAAATCTGGTGATGTTCAAATAAATAAATAAATAAATAAATCTGGTGATGTTCAGAACAACAATGTTGGGAATTAAAATAGTAGAAAATCCAAAGTCCCCATTGTTTTGGGGGGACTAAATGTTTCGTGTGTAAAGAATCCTGGTAGGTTATACTTTAAAATAAACCTCTCTTATCTCTTCTTAAAAATGTTATTTTCTTTGGACATGGCCTTGGGAATAAAATCATGGATGAAGGTTATAAACAAGTAGAAATTCTAGTTCTTGAGGTCACGAGAGCACTCTATTAACAAGTCAAGCTGCATAGTGTTGACCGTGCGTTAGTAACACTATGTTTTACATGTATAGTTATTCTCATTTGCACAACTCTGTGAACTAGGCCCTATTATCATCACCATTATCCCCATTTTATAGATGAGAAAACACAAACTTGGAGGTCAAATGACCCATGTGAGTTGACGGAATGGAACTAGATCTGGAACCCAGGAGCCTAGGGTCAGGTGTATGACTCGCACCCCGCAAGCCTGCCCTCCAAGTCCGTGTCCTGACTATCAGACACTGACTCGAACAACGGCAGGGATCAGCGGTAGGGGTGGAGGTGGCAAGCAATTTTATAAATGCCATACTTGTAGTTGCTCACTCAATCCTTGCAACAACTATAAGAGACCTCCCATATCATTCCCCCATTCACAGCCGAGGAATAGAAAAGTGAAGAAACCTGCCCAGTGGGGAGCTTGGGTGTTAAGCAAGGCAGCCTGGCACTGGGGTCCGTGTACTTACCCACTACGCTGCTGCTCTTCTCACCAGGAGAGGAAGAAAACACTACCCCAGTTTCCACTAAAGCATATCCTTCTTACCTCTGCCATCGCTTCCACCACCTTCTGCTTATCCACTTGTAAGATCCCATTTTTTGCTGTGCGAGACACGTGCAGCTCATGCCAGTGGCCCAGGGTGAGGGGGTCTTCACTCCTGTTGAAGGAAGGAAACTTGAGCGTGGGTTAGCATCCTTGGTGTTACAGATCCCGCTCATGAATCCTCCAGAATGCAACTGAGGCCAACCTCAGATGCCTCATTTCATTCAGTCCAAAGAAAATCATTCCTGTTTAGTAAGCACAGCAGGCGAGCTCCATCTATCAGAGCTCAGACCCCTTTACGGTAGGAACATTGCAATTATTATTTTATTTATTCGTTACAACAAGCCTGAAATGTGGGTCAGCTGAGCCTGGTTTTCTAAATGAGAGGTGACAAGGGGGTGAGATGTGATCACAGTTGCACATAAGCTTTGAAAACGGAGAAGTTACCTGGGCTCTGGTGTAAAACACAGATTCTCTGCTGTACTGATGTTTGCAGCATCCTTTGAAATGCATAAAAAATAGGATGGATGGATGGATGATTGGACAGATAGATGGATATAAGGATAGCTAGGCATGTGACAAAGCAAAGATAGCAAAATATTAATTATAGATGGCAAATGAGAGGTACAAAGACATTTACTATATAATTCTTCTTTAATATATGTTTAAAATTTCTCATAAAAATGTTGGGGGGATTCCATATTATCTGATATTGTGAAAAGGATTAAAGGCACTTTAAAAATTCAATTACTAATTCAAGGTAGAAGTGCTTGAAGTTTAAATGTTACTGACAGGAGTTTTACACATTACTTTGGATAGTGAGGTATGCAAGAAGAGTATAATTATTGCATTTGTATTTCTAATGGTGTCTAGTTCCTAGCCTTCACTGAACCTCCCAATTATTTTTTGATCCTGGATCATCTTTAGAAAACTGTCAGGAATACCAATGGGTACAATTATCGAAAGGTCTCCACCCCCTCACTTGATTTCTTTTTGCTCTGGCAAATGCTTTTGTGATTTGTCCTTAGCAATTAGAATTTAATCACCTTGGCTAAATCGATATGCAATAAAGAAACCAGAGGCACTCTTACAGCAGCCCCATCTCCGTGATAAGTCACAGCGCCTTGGTGGCGTTCTCGTCCTGCGGAGGTCACTCCCTGTCAATACCTGTCTTCCTCAGCATGCTGGTATCGATCCCAGCCATCACAAACTCGTTGCAATTGCCTTGATTTTTGAATCAAGTTCATAATGAACTTTACTACCTTCTCTTTTTCCTAAAGTTAAAATGATTTGGCCAGTTCCACAACTTCCTGTGGTTAGGGGCTTTCAGCGAATGTTACTAATCAAGCAGGAAGTCTTTGAAATGGTTTTCAAAATAAATATCTTGCAAAGGAGCGCCTGAAAAACCATAGTAATCACTGCTGTCAGGTTACACTGGAGAGGGGATGGGACAGAGGGTGCTCTGCCCCTTGAACACTCTGAGCACTTGCTTCCTTTTGTCAAAACCAATATGCAGAATCCTTTTTCCGGGTGCTTTCCTGCCAAGCAAGAAGACAATAACTCACAGTAACAAAACAAAACAAAACAAAAAACTAAAACCTCCTCTTGTCTCAAAGAGGCACAGAATTATGAAAGAGAGAGATGCTGGATACTCAGGTCCTATGAGTCTGTGACCTCACAGCTGGAGCGGTCACTGCAGAGGTGTGGGGTGGGGGGGGCCCTCCGTCCAGGAGGAGGGCTGATGAACACGACCCTCTACTCATACTTTCGGTCACTCCATTTCCAGGAAGAAGCCATGTGAAAACACAAGGTGATATTCAAGGTGTCTTCCCCTCTCAACTTGACAAACAGTTCTACTGGAATTGCTTAGACTGTTTTGCATAATCATATGTACACTGAATCAATTAAATACCTACCAAAGTTGTCTTGAGACCTAGGACATTTTTGCATAACCAGACGTACAAAAAGGTAGTCCTTTTTAAGAATTGTTGGAACCTAATGCCGTAAGCATTTCTCATCAGCCATGAAAAATGGCCAGCAGTTAAGGGCGATGTAAGGTTGTAACATCTCTCCTGCACGCTCTTCCTAAAAATGATAGTCTAGCAGTAGGAATTACGATGGAACGCAGCCCGCAATTTCTTTTAAAACCACCACCACTGACTGGTTTCCTGCTGCAGGGCGTCATTGAACAAAACACGGTAGTGAGTTTCAAAAGACAATTCGCCAAACATAGGAACAAGTACCATGTCTGCCTTTGATGAGCAGGCTTCTGGCTTGAAGGTAAAAACTACCGTGGGAGCAAGATGGTAAAAAGGGGGAGACACAAACAAATAAGAAGAACATGGGCCCTTACCATCCACAGGCTAGGGGAGTCATCAAAATAGCGACACACTGGATGGGAACAATCGATCTGCTAATAAATTAATAGTACGAGCGGGATACCTGGAGGACAGGTTTGACGACTCGGAGCCAATTCTGCCACTGCCAGCAAGTATTTAAGAAGCAACTAGTCACCACCACGCTATCAAAACCACCCATCACACAGCCTTCCAGAGCATCGTGCTCAGGGACGGGGCTCTGTGACAGCTGACTCCGCGCCCGGCTCTACGTGGAGAGCGGTAAGAGACTCACTAGTAGCTGGTACAATCGGAAGACACAGTGTAAGAGGACAGTAAGCATGGAAAGCGAGGTCACCAAGGACATTTCTGCTCCATGTCCATTGACACCTCTTTGCTGGTTGTCATCTATTTGCTGAGCGCCCACCCAGGGATGTTCCGAGCACGTGCCGATGAAATACACTTCCTCCCATTTCTCCTGATGGCACCATTTCGTAGGAAAGGAAGGCAGAGGACCCTGGCCGAAGCCAGCCTGCCTGCCACAGACGGACACACAGAGTCGCTCCCTGCTGGGGAGTTACTGGAGAAAAGGAAGTCCTGTCAGGAGGAAAGCCTGAGCCACAAGGAAGCATGTTATCTGTAAACACCAGGACAAATTTCAGAAAAGATAACTGTGGAGGGAAGACAGGAAGAGTGCCAGCTATCAGGACAAAGTCATCTTTTCCCAAAGTGACTGCTGTGTAGCGTTTGGGTGGTGGGGGGGTGTGAAGGTTGCAGCCCTTACCTGAGAACACCGGTCCCAGAGCCACAGTCGAAGCGGAACTCCACGTGGCCCCCTGCCATGTTGATAGACAGGAAGTCCTTGCTGGCTGTGTCGTAGCTGTACAGCAGGACGCCGTCCCCCGAGTCCGGCCGAAACGTGATCTCAAACTCCGTGAAGGAGAGGTAATGCTGGGGCTCCAGGGGCCAGGGGGTTGCAGCATAGGACCTCAGCGACTCTCTGAATTGCGGAATGATCAGGCTGAAAGCTGAGGAAAGGAGCGTATCATTAGAAATCCCTCTGGTGCAGGACTAGCCACGTTCTTGTCTTCCTGCGTAGAGAGCAAAGCTGCATTTCCCGGTGACCCTGAGTTAGCTGGCCAGCGTAACCGAATTCCGGTCAGTAGAATGTGGGTGGGAGTACCACACAGCACCCCAGGTCCGGCCCTAAAACTTCGCTCCATCTTCCACGTACCCTCTTCCCTCATCTGCTGGCTGAATGCAGGAAGGGGAGGTGGCAGGAGGTGGATTCTAAGGCCCCCGGCAGAACCACTGGAAGGCAGGAGCCTACATCCCTGAAGGACTGCATGGAGCAGAGAGTGCGACCCTCCCACCTCCCCCTCACCGACCTGCAGCCATGTGTGATGTGAGCAAGGATCAACCTTTATTATGTTACGCTACAAAGTATGAGATGATATGTAACAGCTCTGGTTTACTGGAAACCATAGGCCCTCTTCTAGGTGAAATGAGATTTGAGATTATACTGTGTTCAGAAGATTTTCTCCCAGGATGGTGTCTTAGGTCCAAATTTAAACCACTGGTAAAAAATTGAAACATGTTCAACTCTGCATGGTGCTCTAAAATCTTTTAAAAATCTTTAAAATTTTCCATTATTATATGTGTGTTTGTGTACGTGCGTGTGTTTACATGTATATACACACATGTTGGCATCTACATGTACCGGGACCTAGGCAGACGGTATTGAGGGGTGGAATAATTCACTAGAACAGTACAGAGAATCAAGATGACTTTTGTCCTATCCGTTGTTAATGATTCTGCATCTCACTTCCCAACCTTTTCTCTGAAACTGTCAGCCATTCTAATGAGCACGAGCTGCAAATGGTCTGATATAGACCATATGCACAGAGGTTTTTCTAAGTTTTTGGGGGGGCCAAAAGGAGCTCACCAAAGCCTGGCCCAAGAGTATCTTCAAATGAATATATCCTTGGCTGGTGTGACCCATTAACACTCAAAGACACACCAACCTTATAAAAAGGGGCGGGGGGACACCTGGGTAGCTCAGTTGGTTAAGCATCTGACTCGAGCCCAGGTCATGATCCCAGGGTCCTGAGATCGAGTCCCGTGTAGGGCTCCCTGCTCAGTGGGGAGTCTGCTTGTGCCCCTCTGCCTCTCCCCCCACCCCACCTCGTGCACGTACTCTCTCTTAAATAAATAAATAAAATTGTTAAAACAAGATTCTCCTGTGTCTCCCAACACTGCATAAATTTTAATTCCATAAAAATGTATGGGACCTTGCTGAAAGCACACTGATGAAAAATTATATCAACATGAATTAGCCGTGCGGAGATCTCAGTCAACTTGCTTCTTTCTCACCCGCTTCACAGTGTCGCCCTTTAAATCCAAGGGGACAGAGGCAAATGTAGGAGTCGGCTTTGACGGCCGTGCAGGTGCCACCGTTGATACACGAAGCCTCATCACAGAGTCCGCTGCTGCATTCCCCTAAACACAGAAGAGGAATTACCAAACAGGTCCATCATGGGAGCCAGGCCAAGATGATGGCACTGAGCACGCCAACAGCTCAGGGCTCCGGATAAATGCAGTTCCCTTCCACTCCTGTTCCCTGGTATTGCTGCACAAGTTCAGGGTTTGTTTTAATTTGATTTTGGCTTGTTCTTTATGAAGAGTCACCGAATCTTCAAAACACGGTGGACACAGTTAATCAATAGTCAATTGTTGGACAAGTTTATGACCACTGACGAGGATGAATGAGCTGTCTCTGCTTTAATTCATCTCTCTTATTCCCACAAGAGTGTGTTTCAATCTCGCCACGTCAACAAGGCATTTCCGTTAAAAGTGTTCTTGTTGGGGCACCTGAGTGGCTCAGTTGGTTAAGTGACTGCCTTCGGCTCAGGTCATGATCCCGGCGTCATGGGATCAAGTCCCGCATCGGGCTCCCTGCTCAGTGGGGAGCCTGCTTCTCCCTCTCTCTTTGCTGCTCCTCCCCCTGCTTGTGCTCTCCCTCTTGCTCTCTGTCAAATAAATAAATAAAATCTTTAAAAAAAAAAAAAGTGTTCTTGTTGGTGTGGCCGCAGTTACCTGAAGTGCTACCACCCTGGGGGTTCAAAGTGGAGGCAATGAGGTAGGGACTGAAGCCATGTCTAATGTATGACCTGGCCTGAACCATCCACTCCTTTGTCTAGGGCAGGGAGGCGTGAGGGGTGAGGGGGCTCCCTAATACCTCAGCACGTGCCTTCCAGAATCCCTGTTACGATCACATGGGAGACAGGAAGGTGGCCTGGAGTAAAAAGTGGTGAGACACTCCACGCCAGATGGGTCCATTCTCTTTACCGAACACAGAGAGGCCCATGCAGGGCACACTTTGTCATTGTCAAGATCATCGGAGGAAGGGGGAACAAATGGGCTTCCCCTGCACTGCTTGTCTTCTGCTTCTGCGGTCTTCCTTCTTGTATATACGAAATAAATTAGACAGAAGGGCCAGTATTTGGTCCAGAACGACATAGGTGAGTACAAAACACTTCTTTCCCGGATGGGGGCAAAGGGGCACATCTCTGATTGAGGGGTCCAGCCCTGTGCCCTGCAGGTGGTGACTCTGGGCCTGCCTGAGCTGAAAGCATCCCCCCCAACGTTGGCCTGGTTGTGTCATCTCTGCAAGCCTCACATCCTTTCATCCTCAGCCCTCTGTGTTCATGGAGCTGATCCAGTCCCTGGTTCCGTGCTCAGCCTCCCTGGGAGGAGGAACTGGGCTGGGTAGAGTGTGCACCCCTCGAGGAGGCCAACCGCAGAGGCCCGTGACAGAGGTGAATTCAAGCCCCTGCAGATGGCTCGGTGCTCCAGCCAGGGTGGGCTGGCTTTGGCAAATCCCGGTTGGGGCCCCTGGAAGTTCAGGCCAAAGTGACGGGTGGTCTGCAGTCACAGTCCGAGCACACGGCCAGCATCCTGGCTCCACAGGGAGGGTGAGGAGCATCCCCGAGAGCCAAACTCGCAGGGCCCGCGCCCCCACTGGTCTTGGTAGGCTACAGCTCTTTCTCAGAGAAGGACTGCTCCCACAGGGAAGACATGAACTTCTCGGGTTATTTTAGATGCATGCAGGAAAATATCACTTTATATATTTGCGTTGTGACTATATTTTAAGAGGTGGGAGTGGGATGGGGCATTTCCTTGATGAAAGCGTGTTTCGGCTTGAATCTGCTGGCCATGGTATGCAAGCCAGACGGGGAGCGCTGGCGTGGGAAACAGGAAAGAAATCTTATGGGGACGGAACCTGGAGCTGGACGGGGTGGTGGCAGGGGACATGGAGAGAAAGTGAGACACAGAAAAGGAAGAAACAGCCAGCTCCTTCTAGAGGCTGAAGGTGGAGGCAGACTCTAGCATAACGTCCAGGGGGTCCCCGCCGGGCCGTCTGCATAGAGTGGCAGGAGCAGAGCCATGAGCAAGGCTGGGAGCGGGAACAGGTTGCTCTGGGCAGAGAAGCTGGCCTCTCTCAGCTGAAGCCTGTGGTCCCTGTGCCAGCATCCCCTGCTCAGCCCCGTGGACACAGCCCTACACATGAGAGGCACCCTGGAGGGCGGCAGTGATGTGGGGGTGACCTGGACACCAGGAGTGGAGGGGCTTCCTAGAGAGGATGGGGAAAGGGCCCTGTGGGACTCCCAGGAACCAGAGAAGGGTGAGGAGCTGGCAGAGAAGACAACAGGAGAACAGGCCAGCGAGCTGGGAGGACTCAGGGCAGGTTTGGGGAAGCTCCGGGTGGAGCCGGAGCACAGAGAGCAGGCGGAGTTAATACTGCTAGAAAGTCCCGGAAGAAGGGTTTTGGGTTTGTAAAGGGGTGACCATACCCAGTTTTAGGAGAGGGATTTTGCTGTGCCATGGAAGGCAGAAGCCCAATTGCAGGGGGTTCACGTAGGGGACTGGAAAGATTGGGAGCGTCGGGTCTAGAAAGAGAGGAGCGAGGTGCCCGGGGTTCCCAAGTGCGGAAGGTAGCAGGGCTGTGTGAGGCATGGTGCTGGGTTTCGGCATGGGGACCTGAGCAAGTGAGAATAAGACCGGGCTGGGGGGGGGGGCGTCCGTGAACTGATAAAACACATTAATCTTTATTTTCCCTCACTTCCAACTGAACGGGAGTGTTCCCTTCAGTTACTAACATAGGCAACAAACCTCTAAGAATGGGCAGTGCTCGTGGCCTGTGGCCAACAGTCCCGAGTTACTGTTATATCACATTCCACTCGTTGCAGATATCGCAAAATATCATTTATGCTAATTACTACTTTGAAATCATGGTAGCTCTTCCACCCCCGTTAAATAATCTTATTCTCTAATGCTTTATAAAGAAGCACAGATACTACTACAATAACAAAACTTAAAAAAAAATTGTGTGGCTTTATTTCAATGTAAGTGTTTCCTATCAGGGATATTTTTCTCTGCATTTATTTTTATTTATTTATTTATTTATTTGAGAGAGAGAGAGCAAGCATGAGTTGGGGGGAGGGGCAGAAGGAGAAGCAGACTCCCTGCTGAACAGAGAACCCCACGTGGGGTTCAATCCCTGAGATTATGACCTGAGTTGAAGGCAAAGGCTCAACCGAGCCACCCAGGTGCCCCTATTCTCTGCATTTAAAAACGTCATTTCGAGGGGTGCCTGGCTGGCTCAGTCAGTGAGCGTGTGACTCTTGATCTCAGGGTTGTAAATCTGAGCCCCACATTGGGTGGTAGGATTACTTAAAAATAAAATCTTGGGATACCTGGGTGGCTCAGTTAGTTAAGTGTCTGATTCTTGATTTTGGCTTAAGTCATGATCTCAGGTCATGAGATCGAGCCCTGTGTCAACCACTGCGCTGGGGCATGGAGCCTGCTTAGGATTCTCTCTCTCTCTGCCCCCTCCACCCCCTGCTCTCTCTCTCTCTCTCAAAAAAAAAAAAAAAATCCTAAAGAAAATAATAAAAACATTTGAGAAGAGTCCATTGGCTTCACCAGACCGTTAGAGAAGTTCATGGCTCACGAAAGGTTAAGAACCCTTGGGTTACTGAAATGATGATCCTGGTAGCAAGGTCCAGGGATGTAGGGAAGGACAGAGGCAAAGTGGAGATAAACAGGTCAGTTTTAGAAATGAGGAAATCTTCCCAATCTTAGAGCGGGAGGAAGAAAGCTGGTGGCCAGGTCACGGGCCTAGAGTGCTGGGGGTACCTCAGCCCCACTAAATGAAATCACTTTTGTTGACACTGAACCTACTAGATGCCAGCTTGTGTTTACGCAAGACAATGAAGTGAGGGCCAGAGAGAAATGAGGCCGCTGAGGAGAAAAGCGAAGGTGGAACATCACAGGTAGAAGACTTTAAGGACACACGGGCAGGGAACAACCTCCTCCCCTCGTCCCCCAGTCCAGAACTGAGGCCTGTCTGTCTCCCCTACTGAAGACCTGTCAACTTAGTCTACACCTCTGCCACCACCCCGGCCTGGAGCAAATCGCCATTATCTCTGATCTGGACCGCCGCCATCGCCTTCCTGCCAGTTTAATGTGCGTCCTGAATACTGCTTCCAATAAGCTGTCCACGGCCAGAGCGATCTTTTCAAAACACAGACTACATCCCGGTACCCACCTCCCCCTTGTACTCCCACTGGGACAAGTCATTTCCTCTGCCCGGAATGTTCTTCCCTCTCTTATCTGCTTTAAAAGAAAAATGCTTCAGATAGCAACTTTGCATTATATCCTCAGAAAGCTTTCCTGGACCTCCTGCTCGTACAATTCCCTTATTACACACTATTAAGTGTGTTATCACTCCTCCTTTGTAACACTTACAGCCAAACGTCATTTTACATTTACTCGTGCAGTTGTTTGATCAATCTGGTCTCTCCCTGTGGCAGCTACGTGAGGGCTGAGCTCAGATCCTATGGTTCTTGTTCATTACTTTGTCCACAGCACACAGAGTCATGGCTGACATTAAACAAGTATCTTAAGGGAAAGAATGACTAAAAGACTGGCAAGCCCATGGGGAGACCCATGGACACCTTGGACCTCTGGAGTCTCAAATAACTTGGGAAGCTGACTTTGTCACACTGACCCAGTGGGGTGTGAAGATCCACAACAGGATTGAGAAAAACGAGTGCTGCCGGTTTAGGTTGGAGAAGTTGGGTAGAAATACTAAAAGAAAAGTCTAGGCCAGAGAATGCAAAATTTGCTGAGATTGCAGACTAGTCTAGAACATGAGTTTAAAGAGTTCAGTCACTGGGGATAATCTAATGAAGGAGATGAGGTGGGAGGGCTTGGGGAATGAAAGGTCCCTCTGAGGCGCGGAGGCAGGCTGAGGTGATGGGGGAGGGGAACAGAGAAAAAGCAGGGGTTGCAGATAGCAGTGCCAACTTAGAGGTACCAGACAGAGGAAGCATGGGTCTGCTACTATCATTACTTTCTTCGAGAAGCCTGTATCCCCACCAGAAATTCACTGCTGTTGGTATGAGCCTAGCCTTCCCCATGGTGGCACTGCATTTCACTTAAAAGAACTTGAATTTCTGAAGGACAAACTCCGACTAAAGCAAGTATGGAGTATGAGGAAGCAGCCCTTTTCCAGCACGCCAGGGTGAAAGATGGGAAGAAAATGAAAAAAGGCAATGTGACTGATGTCTGCCATTAAGGTTCATCATAAGGCTCACAGTCATCAAAGAATCCAATAGTAGCTCCCAGGGAGCCCAGAGCCAGCAAGGTGGGCCCGCCTGGTGCCATCGGCTCAATGGAGAGGTTGGTTTCACACTGTGTGAGAATTTAAAGCACTGCCAGAAATTGGTCCTTGCTCAACTTCACAATGTCATAACTACCCATCAGTTGACCACGTGGCCTGGAGGCTACAGATCTGTCTTTCAGGGCTGTTTCCCTGTTAGTTCAATGAAGAGAGAAAAAACAACTTATAGCCTGCTTATTGGGTGGAGTCAGGATATTAATAATAATATTAATAGCAAGAAATATTTACAACATGTTTGCTATGTGCAAGGCTTTGTTCTTAGTACTTATATGCACTACAACTCATCTGGACAAAGTAATCTTATGAGGAAGTTACAAAAAAAATTCATAGGTTGAAGCCCTAATTCTCAGTGTGACTGTATTTGGACACAGGGCCTTTGAGAAGGTAATTAAGGTGATTTGAAGTCTTAGTGATCCAATCTGAGCAGTGTCCTATAAGAAGAGGGAGAGACACCAGGGATATAGGCACTGACCAAGGCCACAGGAGGACACGGTGAAGGAAGGATTGCCAAATGCAAACCGAGGAGGGAGGCCTCGGGAGAAACCAAACCTGCCAGTGCCTTCATCATGAGGTTCCAGCTTCCAGAACTGTGAGAAAACAATGTTATTAAAGCTACCTGGTCTGTGGTATTTTGTTACAGCAGGCCTAGCAGACTAAAACAGTCACTAAGTTAACCAAATTTAGAATTACCTATCTGCTCTCAGCAGCAATGAAATAAACATCCTTATCCCTTTAAAAACAATCCTAGTCTTTTCAAAAAATCATGCTGAAACAATTGGACATCTGCATGCAAAAAAAAAAAAAAAGGTAATAATCTAGACAGAGACCTTACACCCTTCACAAAAATTAACTCAAAGAGATCACAGACCTAAGTGTAAAGCACAAGACTGTGAAACTTCTAGAAAGTAGTGTTGACAAAACCTAGATGACCTTGGGTAAGGCAATGACTTTTTAGAGACAACACCAAAGTTATAACCCTTGAAAGAAGTAACCAATAAGCTCAATTTCACTGAAATTAAATATTTCTAATCCACGAAAGGCAGTGACAAGAGAATGAGAGGATAAGCCACAGACTGGGAGAAAATATTTGCAAAAGACATATCTGAAAAAGGACTGTAGTCCAAAATTCATTTTAAAAAAAGTCTTAAAGTTCAACCATTAAAAAAAAATCTGATTTTTAAAAAAATGGGCTAAAGACCTTAACAGACACCTCACCAAAGAAGATATACAGGTGATAAATAAACATATGAAAAGATACCCCACGTGATAGGTCATCAAGGAAATGCAAATCACAACAAGATACCACTACACATCAGTTATAATCTGGAACTCTGACAACACCAAACGCTAACAAAACTGTGGAGCCACAGGAACTCTTAAACATTCCAGGTGGGAATGCAAAATGGGACAGCTACTCTGGAAGACAGTCTGGCAGCTTCTCACAAAACTAAACATATTCTTAGTACGTGACCCAACAATCACACTCCTTATTGGTATTTACCTCAAAAAGTTGAAAGTTTATGTCCACCCAAGAAACCTTCACACTGATGTTTAGAGCAGTTTTATTCATAATTGCCAAAACACAGAGGCAACCGAGATGCCCTTCAGTGAGCAGGACAGACATGCCCGTAGTACATATAGACAATGAAATATCACCCAGCACCAAAAAGAAATGAGCCATCAAGCCAGGAAAAGGCATGAATGATGGGTGCCTGGGTGGCTCAGTGGGTTAAAGCCTCTGCCTTCAGCTCAGGTCATGATCCCAGGGTCCTGGGATAGAGCCCCACATTGGGCTCTCTGCTCAGCGGGGAGCCTGCTCCCCCTCCACCACCTCTGCCTGCCTCTCTGCCTGCTTGTGATCTCTGTCTGTCAAATAAATAAATAAAATCTTAAAAAAAAAAAAAAGAAAAGGCATGAATGAAACTTGGATGTGTATCACTAACCAAAAGACGCCAATCTGAGAAAGCTAGTTACAATATGACTCCAACTACGTGACATTCTGGAAAAGGCAAAATCATAGAGAATGTAAAAAAAAAAAATCAGTGGTTGCCAGAGGTTGGGGATGAGAGGAGAGAGATAAATGAGCAGAGCACAGAGGGCTTTTAGAACAGCAAAAATGCTCTGTATGGCACCAGAATGGTGGTATTACGTTATACATTTGTCCAAACCCGCAGAACACACAATGCCACAAGTGAACCACAACATGAACTACAGACTTTGGGTGATACTGATGTGTCAGTGTGTGCTCACCACGTGTAACCAGGGGCATGGTGGTCATGGGGGAGGCCATGCAGGTGGGGGTGGGTGGTATAAGGGAAATCTCTGTACCCGCCCCTCACTTTTTTGTGTGAACCTTAAACTGCTGTAAAAATAGTCTTAATAAAAAAAAGAAAATAGAAAAAAAAAAAGTCAGTCCCTACCTCTGCCTGCTCTTTTGGATAAGTTTTATTTGACTTTCAGCCCCAGTTTCCTCATGTATAAAATAGGCACAACAGGGGTGCCTGGGTGGCTCATTGGTTGAGCATCTGCCTTCGGCTTAGGTCATGATCCCAGGGTCATGGGATGGAGTCCCACATCAGGCGCCCTGCTCAGTAGGGAGCCTGCTTCTCCCTCTCTTCCCTGCTTGTGCTCTCTGTCACTATCTCTGTCTCTCTTTTTTTCAAATAAATAAATAAAATCTTTAAAAGTAAAGTAAAAATATAAATCATAAAATAGGCATAATAGTAACAATGGCTACCTCGTAGAGCTAGTGTGAGGAGTTAAGGTAGATAAGAAAGTGCTGGACACAGTGGTCAAGAATTAGAATTTCGTCATTTCTCTGGAAGCAGAGGGCTTATGAAAGTTCTTCTTGCATTATTGTGTTGGCTTTTCCACTGGACTGAGGAGGAAGGGGGAAAGGGATAAATTGCTTGATGCCAGGCTTCATGGAGAAGGCCAAGGGCAGCAGGACACAGCCAAGGGTTGGGTGTGCCATATTGTTTACCACGTCTTGCTGGTCAGGCTCAGGTCATCATGTCTGCAAAGCACCAACCTCACCCCTTGGGCCCACCTCTGGGCTAACCAGGTGCCTACGGTTGCAGTCCATGAAACTGCTCACCTCCCTGGCCCACACCAGAAGGGCAATCCCAAAAGAGCACCCAGGCCCACTGGGCAACCACTTACCCACGTCAGCTCCACTGAGTGCCTTCCCTAGGGGCCAGGGCCTCATGTCGATTCTCCTCCCATTAACAGTGAGCGATTGTACACAGCCTTGAAAGCCTCTGTTTGTTCCTGTTGCTCTGACCAACCAGTATGCGCTGGGAGCCCCACCAAGATAGAGGGGTGTCCGGAAGGTAATTTTACTGTACTGGCCCTTTAAGAAAGATGAACACTGTAACTCACTGACCAAAATCGAAAGCCAAAACACAACAGATTTTAATGAGGGGCATGGTTAAGAGGTAGTTTACAGCCCCACTGCTTTCTTCCATCTGTGTTTATGTTTACAAAATTGCCTGGAAAATTAAACCCATGGTTACTATAGGAAACCTAGTGAGCTCCTCCGAGGGCTGTGTTTTGAGAAGGGGTTTTGGAATGCCTGGAAGGGAAGGGAAGGGAAGGGAAGGGAAGGAAAGGGAAAGGAAGGGAAGGGAAGGTGGGTCAGAGCCAAGAGCAACCCAACAGGCAGGGCACCATGCTGGACATCCAAAAAAAACTTTCTCTTTCCAGTCCTGACACCAACTTACTGTGTACCTTAGATGAATCATAGGGTTCTTGCGTGTCTCAAAAGGTGATAATGCTAATTTTGCGTATATGTGGGCTAACACTTACCTTTTACTCTCCTAGTCTCCCATATACTATGTCCTGCAAGAAAAGTTGTGTGTGGCGGGGAAGAGGGCAGGATTGCCACACAGATTGTGTTGCAAAATATTTTGAAATTTGCTCACGGATACAACTTTTGTGTATGTGTATATCTATAGTTAGGTGGGGACATTTCTAATCTTAGAGAAAACCACAATCTGGATTGTAGACTTTGAGGTTATAAAATACTGACCTGAACATTAGGTAGGACAAAATTAAGGTACCCTTTGTCATTTGTTTTTGTTGTTGTTGTTGTTGTTGTTTTTATATATTAAAGAAATATCTTATTCATTTGGATTAAAGGGGGCTGGGAAAATCATGTTGCCAGAATTTATAAAAAGCCCAGAATATAAGCCACTGAAATAAAGAAAATCTTTATCTTTTTAGACTTTTGTTGCCAACAAATAGAACATTTAAATCATTACTTTATCTTTTCTAATGAATAGATAAGAATGATTTATAACTAGTGTACTGAATATGAGCTAGGCCACTTTAAAGTACTTACAGAGAATTTTAAGGATTGTTTGCCTGCCACTGGGCACATTGCTTTTGTTAGATGAATTGAGTGCCCTGTGGGCTTATTTCATTAAGATCCTCAGAATTCACTCTGGATCCCATTTTCACTCTGTTCCTTGCTCCAGGATCACAGCAGGGGCCTGACAACTCAATCTTTTTCTTTTTCCTTTTCTGGAACATTCCATGCATTGTAGGGTGAGTGGTTCCTCTGAGCCTCCCTCACAACATCCTAGACAATAGTCTGATAAAAGTTGGCCTTTACCTTCCTCTGATGAGGGTTGCTTTGGGTTCTGGAGCCTGCTTTGCCTGCTATCAGAGAATTGGAAGTGCCCTGGAGTTAGCCTATACCCAGCACAGCACTTAACAGTTTTTGATGGGTGCCAAAGTGTGAAAGTCCAATTCCCTTGCTTTGGGTTGGGATCACTCTGAGGTGTAACTTATACTACAGAGCTCCCCTACGGAATCAGGCTGAAGCCAGACCCTGAAGAAGAACTTTGTAAACCTTGATTTAAGACAGAGTCACGGGGCATCTGGGTGGCTCAGTGAGTTAAGCAGCGGCCTTCAGTTCAGGTCATGATCCCAGGGTTCTGGGATCAAGGCATGCATCAGGCTCCTTGCTACGTGCAGAATCTGCTTCTCCCTCTGCCTGCAGCTCCCCCTGCTTGTGCGTGTTCTCTGTCTCCCTCTCCCTTTCACTCTGACAAATAAGTAATTAAAAAAAAAAAAAAGAGTCACTATCTCCCAAGACAGTTTACCAAACATTCCACAATTGTCCTGCTTATTCAACTTGCTAGCAAATCCTGGTAGTAGAGGCAAACATGGCCCTGAGTAGCCATAAAATTAAATGCTTCTTGCAATTAATTCTTATATTCATTACAATTATAGATCCAAGTATTAGAAAAGATATGGAAACTCATACAGTCCAATCTCCCATTAACTCCTGGAGCCCTTGTGTGTCCCTACCAAAAGGTTTTGGTAGCGTATTTTCTGCACACCCCCAAGGACAGGGAACAGTCTCTGAGATCATCTGTTGCACTTCTATATATCTTTGTATGATTAATTGGAGTTAAAATCACTTCCTTAGGATCTCCCCATCCCACTTCACCTTGGGGGTCCACAGAGTAAGTCCTTCTTCCCCCAAACTCTCCCTCTATGATGAAAAGGCACCATCCACACCTTCATCTTCTTCTCTCCAAAGTAAACAATGCTCCTTCCCTTGATCATTCTAAGGATTTTAGGTCAGTTTCCTGTTTCAATGACTTGTTTAAACAAGCTCCAATTCGACTGTGGTCCTCCTAGAGTGCAATCACAGATCTGAATGCAAGCCTCTTAGAGGATCTGAGTTACCACTAGAGCACTGGAGGCTATATACATAGCTCCTAGAATATAAAAGGACTATCACCTCCATTTTTCTGGATGCTATATCTCTATTAATGTGACTTATCATTTCTTGAGCTTGTTGTTACTACATGGTTCTGTTTATTAACCTTTATTGAATTTCCTTGCTTTAAACTGTAAGACATTTTCACATGTATTGCTTCTATTACAGCTTCTCCATCCTATTTTCACAGTTAGTATTTGGGATCCAAGTTCAAAGCTTCTTTATTCCTATCAGACTTAATTGTAATCATATTAGGGCTGTTGTCCTGGCATGTATATGATTCTGTAGTTCATTTATCTTGTCTTTTTTCCCTTAGAAATAACATGTGTATATGCCTAAGTGACCTTACTGGATTCATAGTCACTCAATTGGATTCTTGTTCCTTTGGAACCACGGGGGTCCAAATTAATGGGAATCAGCAAGGCATGGCCCTTTATATAACATGTCTTGCCAGTAAAAAATAGGGAAAAGTCCAGGCAGGGAGGAAACCACACACATATACACAAAGGCTTTCTTGCTACATTTTTCCTCAGAGAATACAGACACCTGCCTAATTATAATTACAGCCTTGGTTCCTTGGCCGCTTGCTAATCCAAACCGTTTATTCTAAACAGGGCTCTAAAATTGCCCAGAGCATGACCAACATGTGAATACCTAGGTGATTTACAGCATAGCCCAACAGTTAAATTGTTTGACCACTTCCTGTAATCATTCCCCCGCCCCCACATGGTAGATGAAAGGATCATTCCTGCAGATTCAACCAAGGGAACTTTTCAGGACTGTTTTCTAAAGCCACATGGCAACACCCTTGCCTTAAAAGCAAGCTTTGTGTTTGGCACTAATAATGGCTTCTATTCTTCTGATATGGGCCTTCTTCTCCCCTTGCTTTGATGTCCTTGTGGAAAGAGGACACGGCCCTGAGCACAAGGCCAACTGTGTGTTCCTGCACCCCCACAGTGATGATGCTTGCAAATTCAACTCTTCTCCTCAATAGATGTGGGATGGATGAGTGCCCTGAGGCTGCGTCCTGCCATGTCTGCCTCAGCTCTCAGCAGGGAGGGGGGTGGAAGGTGTGGGGGGGGGGGAGGCAGGGATGCTCATGGAGGGCGCTCACACTCACCTGGGACTGGCCTGACACCGGGGTGCCGTTGTTCACCTGCAGTAGCCCTTTCAGCCCATCTCTGTAGAGCGTGACTGTGTGCCAGGCCCCTAGTTTGATTTTGCTTTCACTTATAATGACGGCAACCCCGGTTCCACAGTTAAACCTGTAGGAAGGAAAAGGAGGAAAAGGCCCTCTGCTCAACAAGCTCATTAGGTGTTCTGACCACCCCCCCACCCAACAGCATTTGCAGGGTGATGGCTTCTTTGAGAGTCAACCTGTTCGGATAGGTTTATGAGTATCAAGAACTGCTTCAATCTCCACATGGAAGAGCTACACTTTGCCTGCTCTCTGGGCCAGTCTCAGTCCAGCCATCTTTAATCTGTCCACAGACCCTTCAAATGTGGGGCCTTCTCCAGCCTGATTTTCTCTGCAGCTTCGAAAAGGATGGGCAACTAAGACCTCCCTCCTGCCTCCAATGACTGCCAGATGCTTCAAGTGGATCCAAGGTACGGCAAACTAGAATTTGAGTCATTCTGCTTCCAGGTATTTCTCTGGGGACTTTCCCCAACTCCCAGATGATGGGCTCGGTGATATTAATAAAATGTAAAAAACACAAGTCTTCACACTCATCTTGGCAAGCCGGCCAGCGCTGCCATCTGTGTTCAGCTGTGCCCAAAGGCAGCGCCGTTTCCATAGGAGGCCCCAGCTTTGCTGGGAGGGTGTGGGCGGAGGGGGAACATTCTCAGATGATTGCTTTATTCTTGTTTTTGTTTTCTTTCTCCAACTTCCCTATGGCGCAGGGCACCCGCTAGTCACTGTGCCTGACGTCTAGAATTCTGACCCTTTCCCGTCAATTTCCAGACGGCCGCCATGCCGCTTCCCTGTGGGTCCCGAGATGGTCAGTGGGGAAGGACACGTGACCAGCATCGTCCTTCTCAGGACCTGCACTAACTGCAGCTACTTCTTATGGATTCCCTGCGTCTCCTTGATGATCCTCGGTGCAGAGGAATGGGGTGGAGACTCATGGCCAAGTAGGCTTATCTAGAGGGGGCAGCGGAATCAGGAGACGCAGAGTTGGAGGGCGGCTGCCATAAACTCCTGCCAGGGCTACACATCCTCTGAGCATTAGTGTGTGTGTGAGTGTGAGAACTGCTGTCTGGACCCTGGCCCAGCCTCGGACCCCCACGAGTCAAAGCAATGGCGGACTGCTGTCTTCCCCAAGTGGGATGTTCCACCGTCTTCTCCAGCTTAACCTAAAGTAATTTGGGGCTGAAATAATCGAAAGACAATAACGGCAGATGCTTCTGGAGTGCTTGCTATGAGCCAGGCACTGCTCTGAGCACTTTTGTGTATTCATTCATTTCGTCCTCACAGGAGTCCTGGGAGGAAATGCGGGCTCAGAGAGGTTAAGTCATTTGCTGAAGGTCAGGCAGCAGAGGAATGGTGCCATCAGGACCTTAACCAGTGCACTAGGGACAAGGACAAGGCTGATCCTCCTTGGTCATTCTCAGATAGCTGCTGTGTACACCCCCATGAGGGTGGTTCAAACCCTCACACCTCCACAAAACTTGGCCCCAGAAAACCCCTCACCCTGAAATGACCAGGGCTGAGGAGGAGTGCCAGTCTGCAGCCCCGGGGCGGGGGCTGGGGGGATGTTGAGCCAAGGATGGGCTTTGAGCCTCTGGGAACCCTCAGGAGGCTGTAGGCTCCTGTCTGCTCTCTGTGGCCCTCAGTCCCATTTGCCACAGGAGACGAGAAGATCCCAGCCTCCTTTCCGTCACATCTACTTGAGCTCGGGGAGCGAAGGGACTGGATTGCTTGGGCTCACTGTTGCAGTCACCAGACCTACAACCGTGCCTGGTATACTGCAGGGGCTCCAGAAGAATTTCCTGTTGAATGAACGGACCGAACTCAAGCTTCGAGGCGGACCTGTGTTCCTGCTATGTCACTATTGAGTAAATTTCTCCAGGCTCGCCTTATATACATTGTTCCTTTATCCGCAGGGACCCATCCCATTTATATTTTACTCACACTATAAAAATGTAAACATAATGTAGGATGGTATTAACAAATGCGGGGGGTTTTGGTGGGAGTTACCTGAATTGGAGTGAGCGTCGGATGATGGCCAGAGACATGAAATCGCCTCTCCCGTGTTCATTCTCCCCACAGTAGAGCAGTAAGCCATCCTCCGCCTCTGCCTAGTGTACAAACAAAAGCCACACGAACAATGAGCACCACCTGGAAACACTCATGACTGTGGAACCTGAGTGTTCTCTCTGTGGCCCTATTTACAAAGGGGCGAGCACACGGACTCCAGTGAACTCCCAGGTCCCAAGTCTCTGCTCCTTTCCAGTGAACAAACGGCAGCGATATAAACAGGGTGTGAGGAATGGCAGCGAGTTTGGGGAAAGCTGGCTCGGCCCTCCTCTCCCCTTGCTTGGTGGGTCGGTCCCCCAGCAGAGCCTCAGGAAAACCATGTGCACAGAGACATGGGCAGAGAGGCTGTTTGTATGTCCATCAAATTCTATTTCCACCAAAGAACATTCTTTTTTTTTTTTTTTTTTTTTTTTTTTAAAGAACTCCTTTTTACTTCCCTCCCTCTGGAGAAGGGTGCGCATTTGTTTCTTTCCTTCTGTTAGGGGAACAGGCTGATAAAATCTGCCCTGCTGCTAGACTAGGTTGTCTTTACCCTTGTTGGCTGCCCTAGACCAGGACAGATCATCTTTTGGACACTCAACACTGTGACTGTGACCTCAAAGGGGACTTGTTTCCAGATCACCAACCCTTGCTGTGCTGTCTGAGATGCCCAAAAGAGTAACTCTAAGCTGAAGTCCTGCACTGAGATCTGATTTGTTGTTGATTCAGGTCAGAGAGCATCCTCTGGGCTCTCACTACGTGCAAGGACTGTGTATAGAGCAGTTTTTCTATGCATTCGATTACAGTCATAGCAAGGATGGCAGACATGTGAGCTCCCTTTACAAGGGATTTTGGAATGGGGAATTCGTTATGCCTCTGAGATCCCAGTCTGTGAAGAGTCACCATGATGAGCCACAGGGCTGGGATCTACACGCTCTCACTGGCCAGCCAGCCACTTCCGTAGTTCAGTAACACACAGAACCCACCCTCCGCTCACTGCACCCTTGAACGTACGAATGTGCCCATCGTTCTTGCTACCCTGTGAATGTGTTTAAGGACAGACTGTGTCGTATTTACTTTTGCTATATACCTCCACACTTCTTGCACTCCCAGCCCACCCCACTTGATAGGGCCCAGTGCCCAGCTAAGATGTCCATCCAATAGGCATTCATCAAACAACTAATCCTTCTTACCCTAAATTCAAGAGTAATTTGAAACGCCTGATAGGAGTTCTTCAGAGGCTCAAAAGTTACATAGGAGTGGCCAAAGAACTGAGGATACTGTATAACAATATCTAAAAAGAGAAAAAGACAACATAAAAGCATACTATACGATTTCCTTATTTGTTCAAGGGCAAAAATCAATATAAGCCATTGCCTAGAGGTCATTAAGTGAAAACCCCCCAAATCTGTTACACCTAGCTTATTATCTTCTCTACTTTTGACACCTATGATTCTGATTCTTGGGAACTTTGAGCTTCTGAAATTCTTAGGGAGAAACTAGAGATTATTAACTTGCTACCCTAAAAAGGAAATCAATAATTTCAAGACCACTGACACCTGCCTTCTAGCTGGATATTTGTGTGATATAAGTTGGCTCAATTATCATCTTCTTAACTTCATGCCCATGTTTCAGCAGCACTTTTTCAGTAGAGATGTGATCCAAGTAAAGTCTGCCTCCCCAAGGTGTCGTTAGGATTATTTATTAATTGCTCCAAAAATACTACATGTACGGCACACATAGAAACAGGGCGCTTTTCAACTAGAAGCAATGGAAGTGGCCTTACGTTTTTCCTGGACAGCTAACTTAATTATGAATACATGGACAAGGTGCTTATCTCAGGGAAAAAAAGGGCTAGAAGGAACCATGTGTGGCACACAAAACTGCCCTCTGGGTCCCACTGGAGCCGATCTCCCCACCACATTCTTCTTCCCACCAAGGGCTTACCTTCTGAGCAGCTCACACCACCTTTGCCCAGGTTGCAATGGCACCGTGAGCCCCCCCAGGTGTAGTCATTGATACAAAAGCTGTCAGCAGAGCAGATCATTTCATCACAAGACATGTCAAAGAGCCTTGGCATTATAGCCATGCCCTTCTTCCCTTTCCTCTCTGCTGGAGTGGGCTGGGGAGCCACCGTAGTCATTGGGAGAGATGCTAGAGTAGGGGGGACAAGCCTCGGAGCAGTCTTTGGGTTTGACCTGTGTTCCTTCTTGGATTCCACCAAATACTTCCTATTTCCTCTTTTGAGAGCAGGAAGTGGTTTCACCTAAAGCCAGAGAAGAGAAAGGGTTCAGGTTTGACACAGAGCACAGTGTTTAGATAGCCTTATTTATGGCTAATGTCTAATACTTGAAAATATGGTCAGTTTTGTTATTTCTCAAAACCCTAGAATGTAGAACCCATTTATGGTTAAGCACTTGAGGCTCAAGGATTTTAAGTACCTTTCCCTATGCTATTCAGAAAATCAGTGATAAAGCTGATAGTACATGATTTTTATTATTATAATATCACAAAGATTTATTACTTTGTCAAGGAATTGTTCATTTCCTTCTAATACCTGCCTTTATACATGTCTACTTGGTGGGAAATCTAAATATGGTTCTGCCAGATTGTGAAGTCAGCAGGCAGGGGTTGGCCATAGGACATTCGCATGGTCGGTCCCTAGTTACTATGAATTTATGAGCACCTGGAGCCTAATAGAGAAAATAAATAAGTGTTAAGAGCAAATGGACCAATTTAAGTAAGTTTGAAGTAAAATGTTCATGGTCCATTGGTTAAATTGCCTTGTTGAGCATGAGAACAAGAACACCCAGGTTTTACGAGCGGAGATTTGGTTACCTCCTCAAAGGAGACATCCAAATCTAGGTAGTCTTCAAATCCATCATCATCTTCATCGACTCCCATGTCGATCGTATAACGGGATCCATAGCGGCCACTTCCTGCTTCTTCGGGGCCTTCGGGGAGAAAAGAGCACAGGCTGTCAGCATACGTCTTCCCTCCCTTTTCTAGCCTGAGCCATATACAGAGAGCTCCATCAAATGGATCGGGATGTGTTGGAAACACACAAAGAATTCAACACAAGAGAGGAAGCCTCAATGACCAAAAAATAAAAAAAAAAAAAGTTTCATCTCAGAAGGACTAAGGAAATGCCAATTAAATACCAGAAAGATCTGCCATCTTATACGGACAAGATTGGCAAGAAAAGTAAATGTTGGGCCATAAAACACTATTACGAAGGATGGGCTCCATGAGGACTCTTCATACCCTGATGTTTGATGTATACAACCACTTTGTAAAAATTCTTGGAAATAAGGAGATAATGTTCACACCTTTTGATGCAGCAATTTCACCCCAACTTACAAAATCTGGAGAAATTCTCCCACATGTGTACCAGGACATGTCCAAAACACGTTCACAGCATCAGAATTTATCATTGTAAAAAACATTTCAAATTTTCTATTTATAACAACTAGTAACACCCTAAGTATCTGTCAACAGAGAATAGATAAGTGAATTATACTGTACCTATGGAGTAGAACACTATATTGCAGAAGAAATGAAGGAATGAGTATGTAAATGCATCGACATGGCTCTCATTATTTCACGCAAAAAATGCAATTAGCAAAAGAACATACCCAGTTTGATGTCATTTATATAAAATTCAACAGCAAGCAAATTTGATATATTATTTAGGAATATACAGAGATATAGATATATGTACATATATAGAATTATATAGAACTAAATATATGTATTTCTATGTAAATATGTATCATTTTAAACATATATATTGTTCTCCCTATTTTTATGTTTTAAACTCATAAGCAAAGTAAGACCATAAATACCTGGGGGAAGTTAGAAGAGGGTAGTGAATGAGCTGCAGGACAGAGAAGCCTCTGAGTGCTCTGTTAACAGTCTTTTTCTTAACACAGGTGCTGGGTACCTATGAGTGTTCATATTACCTTTACATGAACCCTTGGTGTATGAAATATTTCATTACAATTTCTTTAAAACAAGAAAGAGACGTTGCACTAGAGAAAACGCCCCTACACCCAGCAAAAGCGGGCCCTACATGGGTATCTTGGGTGCCACCATTTCCATCCATCTTAGCAGGACAATGGGATCTTTGAGAACTGGAAGGTGGGCTGAGAAAAACTCTTAGGAGACAATAGATGACATTATCCTTTGGGGGATGGTCACAGCAGTCCTGCCTTAGGTGCACACTGGTGGCACCCCCCAGGGTATGAGAGTCTTCCCAGTGCTGCTCCATAGCACCCCCATTTCCTCCCAGTTTGGGGGATGGTCACAGCAGTCCTGCCTTAGGCGCACACTGGTGGCATCCCCCAGGGTATGAGAGTCTTCCCAGTGCTGCTCCATAGCACCCCCATTTCCTCCCAGTTCCCCCTGCCGAGAGCATGAACAGGACAGAGGGAGGGGTGGAAGGAGACAGAATCTTAAGCAGGCTCCATGACCAGCATAGAGCTGGATGTGGGGCTCAGTCTCACAACCCTGTCACAACCTGAGTCACAATCAAGGGTCGCATGCTTAACCACCTCTGCCACCCAGGTGCCCCAGGAGCTTGTGTTTTGTTCTCGATCATTTTTGGTCAAGAAGGAATGGAGTTTAAAAGTAGTTGATTAATGGAATTACAATATGAAAAATAATTACTTATTTTACTAAGTCGTGTTTTTTGTTTTCTTTTTTGAAGCTTTAATTCCGGACACTCCAGAGATCTTGAATTTGTCTGCTGATTTCTCAACTTCCACATTACACCTAAAGTGGAATGACAGGGGTTCTGTTTTTCCACATCACTTAAATGTCATCTGGGAAATTAAAATTCTACGTAAAGAAAATAAGGAAGTCGTAAAATTAGTAAGTTTAAACCAAAATAGATTTTTTTTTCCTGTGACATTAAAGAAGCCAAGTAATTTTTAAAAGATTTTAAGGTGATATCAGTGAACTCTTACATTGTTAAGGGTATAGATCAGATATCCTTTCAGGTTCATTAAAAACTATGTGCTATTACTCAAATCACATACTAAAATAATGTATAACTTAAAATAACATATAACATTAATTATAGTAAATTTAGGAAATTAAGGGAGGAATAATCCATGATTCTACCACTTGACCACAGTAAATGTTATTTTTGTGTTTCCAGCTTTTTTATGTGCATGTTTTTATGTAAATGAAATAAATGTATACATAAAATGTACTATTTAATTTTGGCTAATACTATAAACATAAAAGTGTTTGAAACCTAGTTATAGTAATTGTTGAGAAATTTTAAGGTTGAATTTATCTGAATCTGAAATAACGGTTTTACATTTAATAATACATACTTTTTTTTCCCTCTTTTTAGAATTTTGTTGGTAAATGGTTTCCTTATATAATCTATCTTTAGTTTCCTCTTAATCTGAAGGAGAATGAGGAATAATAGTGAAAAGTTTTGACAGTGGGTGTGTGGGAATTCCCTCTTTTGTCCTTTTTTCCTCAGTGGATTTGAATATGCTTAGTTATAGATTAAAGACTTAGAAGACTAGCTCATATTTTACATTATTTGCCTAAGTACATAGATAAGCTAGATTGTAAAGATAAAGAATTAACTCTCTAGTTCATGGTGCTTGTCATGGTGTTCCTTTCTGACTCTGTGTGTATTAGCTTCCTAAGTTAGCGGCGGCCATAGCTGTAGCTTCGGGCGTTGGTGCGTCCGTGTTGCTGCTGACAGTGCTCTAAATGCTCCATGTGTGGTTCTCTGCATCCTCACCACGGACCCCTGAGGGAGGCACCATCAGCATCACCTCCATTTTCGAGATGAAGCTGCAGAGAAGCAGGAAGACAGGAAGTAGTGGAGCCAGGACCCAGAGTTACAGTCTGTGCTCTTTCTTAACCACTGCAGTTTCTGTTACAAAATAGATATGTTTATTTTTGTGTAAGATACCTTTCCTTCCTTTGCACCTGTGCTAATTGATGTATACTTCAAGACTTGAGTCAAATCCTACCCCTCATTTTAAAGCCCATCCTAATTACCTCAGCCTAAAATGCTCTTTCTTTTCTTGAGTTGTAATGGCAGTTCTTTCCTGTCAGCCTAATTTGCAAGTAGCTTTGATAGAGCTCTACCTTGTTGTCTTGAAACTATTGCTTATCTAAAATTGGACCGTGTAACTCTTTATGTGGCTGACATTTTGTGCTGGGTGAGTTACCTATTATTGGCTTTGGGTAACTTCCCAAAACCTCCTTTTTCTCATTTGTAAAATGGTGCCAAGTATCTACCTCAGTAAATGATAACGGTACCTGTAAAGCTGCTGAATGCCTACTAGTTGTCAGTATTTCCTTTGGGGGCTACTTTTTGAAGTATAAGTGAAATCCAGCGTAAGGGAATGGAATTTCGTTTTCAGGGTCCTATTAACTCATTGCCACAAGATGCATCACAAGATGGCAACGGCAGAGTAGGATCCGATCTTTGAAGAAAAATCTTTGTGCGGGGAAATACAGCCAAGAGGCCAGAGAAACAGATAGACCAAATGAATTTTTTAAAAGTAAAACGTGAGAGGGCAAGTGATGCAGATCTGTAGTAAAATGTGACCTTTCTTTTTATATGTTATCGATATCATTTGAGGCAGAGCTGCTTATGCCTTGTCACTTCGATACTATTTTGTGGTTGTGTAAGAATAAAGAATACTGTACATTGGTGTTTCAATTAGAACATGATGGTTTCTGCTCTTGGCCTCACATATGGGTACGGAAGCTGGGTGCTATGGGGACCAGGGTGGTTGTGATACCTGGGATCTCTGCCGCACCTCCAGCCCCTCCCATTTTACTTTTCCAGTAAACAGCAGGTTTCAGTTCTTCTAGCTGATTCTTCTGTGACGTATTTCTGTTGTCCGGGTAGCATGCTTATGTTGTTCTTCCTTAATTTTTCTTTATAGTTTCGAACAATGTTTTATTTTAACAGTCGGAGATGAGAATTTCGTCCTGTCACCACCTGGCCTGGGAGCACACATGTGCATGCTGGAGTGCTCACTCACTCTCTGTCCCTGTCTCTCTCTCTGTCTCTCTCTCTCATTTCCCATCCTTTTTCCAGTATTGTTCTATTACACTGTGGTAATGTGTGGCAGACAGGCATTCATTATTTGTGTTACAGTTATATAAACACTATCCACAGCTAAACCAAGCAGCATATACTACTATTTTCCTTTTCAGAAGTACAACTTCTTGTCATGTCTTGTATTTTCAGTTTAATTTTTGTGCCCCATTAATTTAATCCTTTGTAATCTCCTGCTGAAGTGTTCAGACACACTAGTATTTTATCAGCTGTATGTTTGTGAATAGCTCTCTCGAAGGCCTTCTGACTGACTTCTCAATCCTGCTTACATAGGGTTCACACAGGTACAGTGTTTGTGTAGCAGGAGTGTGGTAGAAAGCTGAGGACCCTTGTGGCCAGAGGTTTCTCAGGAGCTGCAGCACCTAAGTATACTCACAAGTCATTTAGGATAAACCTCTGTGGGTTTTTTTGGCACATTTCTTAGGAAGTTGTTGTCCAAGGGATCTCCATCATCATCTAGGGGATTCCTTTTACCTTTTCTTGCAATGGGTCCCCCTTTTTTATAACCCACTGAGCCACCCAGGTGCCCTGTCTTGTAGTGGATCCCCTTTTTAAAAAATTTTTTCCTCTTCCTCATTTTGGTGGAAGCATATGTTCTAGTAGGTATTTGCTATGTATTGTCGATACTATCTGCTGTCTTTAATGGTAGCTTGCAGATACACTATTTTTTAAATTTAAATTGGTTGCCAGCAAAATTTTTAAGACTGTTGATTACAAATCTTGAGAAGATCCAGAAGAATTGGAACTTTCATACATTTCTGATGGGAGTGTAAAATACTGCCTGATGAATTAATTAAGACATGACATTTCTGAAAGTGTCTATTTTGTACTCACTCATGATTTCTACTTTAGCTGGGTATAGAATTGTAGGTTAGGGGATTTTCTCAAGATTTGGAAGACACTGTTCCATTTGTTTCTTCTTGTGGATCTATCTTTCTTTGTTGTACTAGACAGTCATTGGGTCCCTTTCAGTCTGAAAACACATGTTTCTCAGCTTGGGGAATCTCCTTATTGTAGGTCTTATGGCTTTGATTCCTTCATAACTGTTTTCTCCTCTTTTTTTTTTTTTTTTTTCCTTAGAAACTCTTTTCTTCAGAAATTGGACCTTCTAGGCTGGTCCTCTAATGTTCTTAATTGTTTCCACTTTCCATCTGTAATGTTATTTTGCTCTGTTTTCTTAACAGTTTTCTTAAACATTATCTTGCATTCCTGCTATTGAATTTTTTGTATTTTTTATTAATAAATTTTTTTTAATGTACACGAGATCCCATTTGTCTCTTCTTTTTGTTCATTTTATGGATGCAGTATCTCATCTCTAAGGATAGCAGTTATTTTTTTTTTTCTTTTAGCAGAGTCAGTTTCTTTGAGTTCCTTTCTTATTTTATCTTTAACTCTGATACTAGAACTTTTTCTCCAATTTCTGGTCATCCTGGTTGCTGCTCATATTTGAGTGGCTCTTAACCTTCTTTTAAAATCTAATTGGAACTTTTATGTGTCATCCAGGGACTTTAGATGACTGGGGCTTCATCATAGGTGATTAAAATGGCCTATCAAGTTGGCACAACCTTAATATTATTCTTTTAGATTTTTATCATGACCTGTTCATATGCCCCAGAAAAATCGATTCAGATCCCTGCCTTGTAAGTAGCAACTCTGCCATCTGTATCCTGGGGGCTGAGTAGGAGAAGGAGGCATGAGCACCCCAGCCTTCCTGGTGCATAGGTTAGCAAGTCCCTTGTTTTTGGTACAGTATTCCCCGTTCTCCACTCTTTCTGAGGTTCTTCATTCCAGAGGTGTTCTGTTTTACTTTTCAGATCATAAATCTCCATTCTGCCAAGATGAAGAAGGGTGGTCTTTCAGTAGCATAGAATGTGGGAGGGATCTCTGGGTGTCTAATGTCTCTTTGAAAAGCTTTCAAGCAGTCTTCTGTTCAGTGCCTCACCTTCACCATGCACTTCCAGGGGAGCCTGGTACAGCCTCTTCCTGAGCCCTTTGGCATTTCTGTGATAGAAATCAGGTTGTTTCAGTGTTTTCCATTGGGGGCTTAAGATTCAGCATTTTCAGGTCTTTAGAATCCATTACTATTGTCCATCAGCTCTCCAGGATCCAGAAATTCATTGATACTGTTTCTTCTTCTTCTTCTTCTTCTTCTTCTTTTTTTTTTTTTTTTTTGGCTCTGTGCATCTATGCCTTAAAAAAAAAAAATCTGTGTACTTTTGTTTTAGAAAGATTTCAGAAGAGAGAAGGAAGTACAGTTATTTAATCTCTTGTCTTTAGCTGGAGCTCCCAAGGTTTCTTTTAGTAGATCCTTGATATTTGATTGAAATCCTTCCATTTTTCACAGTTGAGATTAATATTTTATCCTGTTATAAGCTGCATATTTAAAAATAAAGTTTTAAACAGTTAACACATATAAAACCTAATCTGAAACAGTTACTTTGTTGAAATGCTGCTCCTTTCTTTGACTTTAATTCTTGGGAGTACAAATCCATTAATTACTTTTTCTCGACGAAAAATTGAGATCAGTTTTGGCAATGGTTCATTTCTCTCTGAACTGTATTGAATGTTCTGGAGTATTAACATCCTGTATATCAGGGAGCGGAGCCTCAAGCTGAGGAAGGTGGACCAGTCACAACGAACACTGGTGTATGCAAATGTGGGTCATTATGTCGTACACCTGAGGCTAATAGTACACTGTATGTTAACTATACTGGAATTTTACAAAAAATAGGTAAACAAATGAATCATGATTATTGTCTCCATAACTCTCCTTTTACACCTAATAGAAAACTGAGATAGTTGTACAAAAAGGCGAGCCTTTATAGCTTAGTGGTTGTATACTGTCTATTGTGTGTTCTTTAAATCTAAGGGAAGCAGAACATATCACTACTTAGAAATCTCATTTTGTGTTTGTGTTCATTTTTTAGGTGACCCACAACACAACTGTGAATGGTAAAGATACAATTCACCACTGGAGTTGGACCTCAGACATGCCCTTGGAGTGCACCACTCATTCTGTGGGAATTAGGTGCTATGTTGATGATCTTCATTTCTCTGGTCGCAAAGAGTGGAGTGACTGGAGCCCACTGAAGAACGTTTCTTGTAAGCTTCTGTTTAAAAAGCTTTCGTTTCAAATGAACGAGATTAGTCTTGCTTAAGGGTAAGGTATCGGTTAAGCTTTCAGTTCTCCAAATGCCATTTGGCTTCATGAGGGTCACCTGGGGATCTCCCAGATCTCTGTCCCAGAACATTTTGATTAAAAAACTCTTGAGTTAGGATTCAGGAATCTGTATTTTTAAAGATCTTCCAAAGTGATTACATAACCATCCAGGTTTGAAAATCACTGTGGTAGGCATTGAAGAACATTTAAAAATTTTATGTAGGTGTAATTGAGATAAAATCTGTATTTAAAAAAAAATGGCTTCTAGTTTCTTGCCCACAGAACAGATCCCTGTGAGCTAAAGAATTAATTGCGGAGAACATGATCTGTAAGGATACCTGAAATCATCTGTACATTGAATGAAATTCATATGCAGGTAGAATGTTGGCGACATGAGAGAGGCCTGGAAAATAGTTGACAGTGAAATGAAGTCCTTCGAAAGGCTGATTATCGTTATAGATTATCCACTCTAGTGACCGCATGGAGAAATGGATCAGAGGAAGGCAGGACTGGAAGCACGTGGATAAGCAAGAAGGATCTTG